TCATGAAACTTGAGTTCCTTGCATGAGTTGGCTCTGGAAGAGAGAATGGCTTTCGTGCCTTTAACAGCTATGTGGCAGCCAGATATTAATCAGAGTAAGCCCTTTGTAGTATGGAACTACAATTATGGGGAAAGCTTCAGCTGCTGATATTCTATCTGTTGGGCATCTTATGACTTGTGTGTAACTCCTGATTTATTTTTTTATTTTCCCACTTGTGGAAGAGGGTACAAATTTGCCTGTGACATAAAGTATATGCAATTTTATGCAAATGTGGGTGTTATTTGGCAAGTGTAGACTGGGCCCAGAAAACCCTTGGCTACATGGCCTGCCCTTTGCTAGACTCCTGCTTTCAGGTATAGTGGTAGACAATATCCCACCCAGTGCTGGAAGAAAAATTCAGCTGTCAGTACGGTCACTTTCTGTACACTGAATAAGAGAGGTAACCATCTTGTCCTTTTTTCAGGTAGCAAAATATCATGAGCCAGCCCTGGCCCTTTCTTTTTGCATTTTTTAAATCATAGATTCAGCATTAATATTGATTTTGTTGTTTTATGTTTTTGTTTTATGTCTATGTTTGGGTTCTTTGGTTTAGAAGAAAAAATAGGATAGACCATTTTAAATAACCAGAGTGCACGTCATAATTGTGAGATGATGGTACTAATGTAATGCCTTGGTGACACTTAAAACAGCTCTGTGGTGCCCACTAGAGGAACTTAATTCTTCAGTTCCATTTTCCACTGCTGAAGAATGAATTTCCATACACACACATACAAATACATAGCTCAGGGGCGCCAAGTTGCCCCCAACATCGCATGTGCATGGCGCCTCTGAGTTAGTTCAATTCCCACAATTACAGCCCCTTTTACAGTTTGTACTTGGCTGGTGATGTATCCTGAGGCCTCCCCCCACCTAGCTGCTCTTGGGAGAAAAATACAAAATGGGGGAAAAGCAAATTATAAGCAAGTAAACACAACATGGGGCTGCCTTTGAAAAGTTCTCAGAAACGTCAGCTGGCTCAAACAGCTGCAGCCAGATCATTAGCGTGAGCAGTTTCTGAGCTCTGGACACAGTACTGCACCTCAGATTTGAGATTAAAACTGCAGAGTGGAAGGAAAGGAGGACCTTTTTCTGCCTCCCCACTTCCAGCTACTCTCTGAAGACTGGAAAAGAGACCCTCTTGAGATATTAGGGGGATGGGCAGGGGAAGGACTAGACCATGTGAAAAGTGAACATAGTATTTTAGCTGCAGTTCATTCATTTTCACCTTTCTGTCCTTGTTATAAAAGAAACACACCTAGGCATTCCGTTGTTGTGCTCATAATCTAGGTTTAAGGTGCCATTTAGCTCCTAGCTTTCTTAGCTCAGCTTCTAACACTGAGACAGACTGTTGACCAGGGCTGGTTATAGAGTGCATATGACTGCCTTGTTACAATACAGTGGTGCCCCGCAAGACGAATGCCTCACAAGACGAAAAACCCGCTAGACGAAAGGGTTTTCCGTTTTTCGATGCGCTTCGCAGGACGAATTTCCCTATGGGCTTGCTTCGCAAGACGAAAATGTCTTGCGAGTCTTGAGATTTTTTTCGCTTCCCCCCCACTTTTTCTAAGCCGCTAAGCCCCTAATAGCCTTTTAGCCGCTAAGCCGCTAAGCCTTTAATAGCCGCTAAACCGCTAATAGCGCTAATCTGCTAAGCCGCTAATAGGGTTGCTTCGCAAGACGAAAAACCGCTAGACGAAGAGACTCGCGGAACGGATTAATTTCGTCTTGCGAGGCACCACTGTAGTTCCACTGGCTGTTATGACCTATAAAGCCCTGCATGGCTTAGGTCCAAGGTACCTGAAAGACTGTATTCCCTCTTATGAACCTGCCCAGGTTCTGAGATCTTCAGGGGAAGCTCTTCTCTTGGCCCCACCACCATCACAGGCACGCTTGGTGGGGAGGTGGGAAAGGGCCTTCTCAGTGGCTGCTCCCAGACTCTGGAACTTCCTCCTTGGAAAAGTTAGGCTGGCTCCTGGCTTGTTGTCCTTCCACCAGCAGGTGAAGACTTTCTTGTTCCGACAGACTTTTGCAAAGTGACTGCTTTTAATGAAAGAGCTGGAGCCATAATTATCTCATCGTAATTATCTGTATGATCTTAAACGATTTCTTGTGTGTTTGTGGGTGACGCTGTGGTCTAAGCCACTGAGCCTCTTGGGCTTGCCAATCAGAAGGTCGGCGGTTTGAATCCCCGCAACTGAGTGAGCTCCCATTGCTTTGTCCCAGCTCCTGCCAACCTAGCAGTTCGAAAACATCCCAGTACGAGTAGATAAATAGGTACTGCTGTGGCAGGAAGGTAAACGGCGTTTCCGTGCGCTCCAGTTTCTGTCACGGTGTTCCATTGCACCAGAAGCGGTTTAATCATGCTGGCCACATAACCCAGAAAGCCTGTCTGTGGACAAATGCCGGCTCCCTCAGCCTGAAAGCGCTGCAACCCCATAGTCGCCTTTGACTGGACTTAACTGTCCAGGGGTCCTTTACCTTTTTACCTATGTGGAGAGTGTGTGCAGATGTGCATTTTAATCCTATCAATGTTCCATTCAGTGCTTTTTTGGGGGGGGGCACAGGGGTACGCGTACGCCTAAACATTTTGTGAATCTAAGTTTGGCCTCATTGAGGGGCAGTATTTCAATATGAGTAGGAAAATGAGAGTACAGTGGAACCTCGGGTTGTGGACATAATCTGTGACGGAGGCACGTCTGCAAAAACCCACAGCGTTCGCATCCTGAAGTGCCGTGTCTGCGCCGGCGCAATTTGGCACTTCTGTGCATGCGCGAGCGGCGAAACCTGGAAGTAACCCATTCTGGTACTTCTGGGTTTGCCGCGGTCCGCAACCCGAAAACACGTAACCTGAAGCGTCCGTAACATGAGGTATGTGCCCCTAAACATTTTTTTAGAAGAAAAGCACTGCTTCCATTGCTTTTTAAGTGAGCCTCCCTCCCCTTTATGTTTTCAGTGGTCTTATTTTCATCTGTAATCCACCTTGAGTCCCTGTCAGGGGGAAAAGGCGGGATATAAAGTAATAACATTAACAACAACTATGGCCCGCTCAATAAATTTTGGCACCTGAGGTGAGCCGCCAAATGGCACCACCTCCTGCCAGCCATGGAAGAAGGGGTGAGCTAAGATCTTCCTCAGAAACAAAGGGGTGGGTGGGTAAAGACCTACATCAAGGAATAAGGGGTGGTGGAACCAGCAGCACCTCCTGTTTGCCAAGAGGCCAATTAGGCGGTCACCTCGCCTTGCCTCACGGGTGGGCCGGCCCCTGGCACCACCAGCTCTAGCAGCCCGACAGCGATGCCAGGCTCAGGGGCAGAGAGCTGGCACCCTTCAGCCTCTGGGGGCAACAAAGCTGGCGTCTCCCACAACCACACCACTGGCCAGGAACTGAGAAGTTCCTGCGGAGTGGCATTGTTGAACCTTGCCAAGGTAGCCAGCCACCACAGTACAGTGGTACCTTGGTTCTCAAACGCTTTGGTACTCAAACGCTTTTGGTGAGAGAGACACCCAGCTCTACCTCTCTTTTAAATCAGAACCAGTGAAGGCGGTGAATGTCCTGTGTCAGTGCCTGGAGGCGGTTGGAGGATGGATGGCGGCTAACAGATTGAGGTTGAATCCTGACAAGACAGAAGTACTGTTTTTGGGGGGCAGGGGGCGGGCGGGTGTGGGGGACTTTCTGGTCCTGAAAGGGGTTACTGTACCCCTGAAGGACCAGGTGCGCAGCCTGGGAGTCATTTTGGACTCACAGCTGTCCATGGAGGCACAGGTTAATTCTGTGTCTACCAGCTCCATCTCGTACACAGGCTGAGACCCTATCTGCTCACGGACTGTCTCGCCAGAGTGGTGCATGCTCTAGTTATCTCTCGCTTGGACTACTGCAATGCGCTTTACGTGGGGCTACCTTTGAAGGTGACCTGGAAACTGCAATTAATCCAGAATAGCTAGACTGGTGACTGGGAGTGGCTCCTGGGACCACATAACACCGGTCCTGAGAGATCTGCATTGGCTCCCAGTACGTTTCCGAGCACAATTCAAAGTGTTGGTGCTGACCTTTAAAGCCCTAAATGGCCTCGGTCCAGTATACTTGAAGGAGCGTCTCCACCCCCATCATTCAGCCCGGACACTGAGATCCAGCGCCGAGGGCCTTCTGGCGGTTCCCTCATTGCGAGAAGTGAAGTTACAGGGAACCAGACAGAGGGCCTTCTTGGTAGTGGCACCCGCCCTGTGGAACGCCCTCCCTTCAGATGTGAAGGAAATAAGCAGCTATCCTATTTTTAAAAGACATCTGAAGGCAGCCCTGTTTAGGAATGTTTTTAATATTTAATGCTGTATTGTTTTTAAAACTTGATTGGGAACCGCCCAGAGTGGCTGGGATATAAATAATAAATTGTTATTATTATTATTAATAACTTGGAACTCAAACACTGCAAACCTGGAAGTAAGTGTTCTGTTTTGTGAACCTTTTTTCGGATGCCGAACATGCTCCATTTTGAGTGCCACACTTCCGTTTTGAGTGTTACGCGGAGATCTGTCTGTTTTTGCTATTTATTTTGCGCTTTTGTTTTTGTGGAACCCAGTTCAGCTACTGATTGATTGACTGCGTAACTGCAGAACATTGTTTATTGCTTCCATTTTATGGACCAATGGTCTCGTTAGATAGTAAAATTCATGTTCAACTGCTGTTTTAGGGGATGGTTTTCCAAAGTTTGAAACGGATTCATCCATTTTGCATTACTTTCTATGGGAAAGCGCGCCTTGGTTTTGGAACAGAGTTCCGGAACGGAATAAGCTTGAGAAGCAAGGTACCACTGTAAAGGCATGTGGGGGGAAAGGCCCTAACTTAAGAACGGCGTAGCCCTCGCCGGGTCGCCCTGTCAGCTACTACCGGTTGTAAAGCCTGCGTTCCCTCAGGAACCTAGAGAGGGCGCGCGGAGGCGAGGCGCCAATTCCCGCCTTTCCCAGGTGTTTATGTGTGCGTGTGTATTCGTGCCCGCGCGCGCTCTTGCTGGTATCGGCAGACTGAGGGAGCCAGTCGGGGAGAAACCCTCCTCCGTCTGAGGCGAGCGGCGTTCCTTGTGCGAGGGGAGCCGAAGAGGAGCTTCGCCGACGACGCTGCCCGCCCTGCCGGAGCCGGCGTGGGTGGGTGGGAAGGATCCCCCACGCACGCCCACATCCCGCCTCGCCAACCCCGGAGAAGCCGCGGCTCTCTCCCGGTCCCCCACCCCGCCCGGACTCATCTGTTGCGCCGCGGCGAAGCGGCACCTCCGCCGGGGGGAATCCTGAGGAGATCCTGAGGGGAGCGCCGGGCGAAGGCGCCTCGGGGTGGCCGGCGAGAGGACTTGAGGGAGAGAAAAAAAGAGAGACCTTCGCTGGCTTCGGGAAAATGCGGCTGCCTCGCCGAGCCTGCCTTTCCTTCTCACGCCCAGTAAGTTCTCCCCGGCTCGCACGAGTTGTTGTTTTATTTTGTATCTCTAGAACGGTTTTTATTATTCTTAGGGGGAAAAGATTCCTGCATTGCAGGGTGGGGGGTTGGACTAGATGACCCTCGGGGGTCCCTTTCCAACTCTTCTGTGGTGATTATTCATAATCGTAGATTATTGGGGGGGGGCAGGCAACCATCACCTCGAAGCGGTTTTAAAACAATCCGGAATGAAACATTGCCAAAGGAAAGTCAAATGGGAAGTACTGTATAGGTTTTCCATCACTTAGCACCCGGGGTAACTTTTTCGTGCCCTGGCGTGAGAGGCGCTTATAAGCTTTAGAAAAGGGCTATTTCTCCCCAAGAAGAGGGGGTGAAAAAGATGGTGTTGGTTAGGGAGACCCATAACTTGGAGGGGCAAACATGACTTCTCTTTCTCTCTCTCCCCCACCCCATCCACCCAATGCTAAGGTCCAGAGGAACTTAAAATCCTCACAAAATAAGAAGGCGGGTTGTGGGGTAAAGAGGGAGGCATTGTTATTACTCTCTTTGAAGGCTTGCAGAAGGGTCACTTCACACGTTGCAGCAAAAAAGACCCAGGCCTGTGTCTCCCCTTTCCGGGCTGCCTCGTTTCTGTCAAATTATTTCTGCGTTTGTGAACGGGTCCAAGCAAACACCGGCCTCTGTGCCTCAGCCAATTCTCTTGCGTTTCCCCCCCCAGACATAGGAGCGCCCTTTAAACACTATAGAATGGAACATAGGAGAGAGGGTCATCGGTTTTGCTAGGTGGCAAAAGAAAAAAATAAATGACAGCACTTTTAATCCTGTTTATATTGCTGCCAGTGAGAGAAGTTGTTCCCGTTTTTTCAGATGTAGGACTGAGGTTGTAAGACAGTGATGTGTACGGTCAAGAGCCGGTTCATTCATATATGTGTACATCGCTTGAACATGTGTGAACTGTACTCAAGGCTGTTTCTTTTAAATCTCACGCAGAACCAAGATGTGTCTTGGTATTTCACTACTAACTTGTCAGTTGCTGGTTTTTTTTAAAAAACAACAACAACACAACAGCTATCTATAACTTTGCAGTTCTATCCTGTCAATAAAAAAATTGATTTGTTTCTCAAATCTACTTGCTAGATATGAGCACGGCAGTAGCACTAAAGGGAGAACATTACCCTATTGTACAGATGAGTAGCCTTGGTGACCAATGCTGCTCCTTTTGATTTTACCCACATCATCATTGGATGAATTTGAATAGATTGGTTCGGTGTTATTGATTATGCAGAAGAAATACAGTCCTGTTCTGTAGAATTTCAACTTTTGCTTGACATTTTTTCTGTCTAGAAATGGATGAGAAATGAGGGGGAAATACTCAAAGTATGGTACAAAAGCATTAGTCTGAATTGGTTTATGAGGCAATACGTTCATCAGAGAAGGAGAGTGGAAACATGCAGTGATATCTGGAAAGAATTTTGGAGAAGTGAGGACCAACAGAAAAATACTGTGCTGTATTGAGTTAACATGAAATTTAATCATAATTATTGCAATCAGATGTTGATTTTTAAAAAACTGATCCGATTGAAACCTTGTTTTGTAAAATAAATGAGAGAATGAGGTTCAGAGCCCCGTGAAATTCACCTTTCTTCCTTACCCCTTTCTACATGAATCTGGCGGTTCATTTGTTTAAACCTGGGCCTGTTCTAATCACATAATGCAAGACTTGGGAGGGGGAGGTACTTTTAAGTGCAGGTGGCCATATAGGTGAGGGGTTCTGAACTCCCCTTCCCTCCTGCAGCTTATGTTCCTGCTCCCTTCCACAGTTGGTCTCTGATACCAAAAATGATCCTGGCAGTGCCTAGAGGCAGGGGCGAACTTCAGTCTTTCAAATTTCAGTGGCACGCCAAAATTTGGCATCCCTTTCCATTCTACACATGCACTACATCGTAGTTGCTAAACCCTTTGGCATCCCCTTTGGCTCAGTGCCCAATGCGGCGGAACTACCCTAAATCTGTCTCTGCTGGAAGAACTGCAGGGAGGTAAGCCATGGGCAAAGGGGGCACTCAGCTGCCCCTTACAATCTTAAAATTGGGCCCTCACATTTTTATTTACCATTGCTTTAAAAATGGTTGTGCTACTATCACCTGCAGTTTGAGACTGCTTTTCAAGGTTAAACAGAAAGACTTCAAATTTTCAAAGGTTCCTCCAAAGAATCTTGTTCTTCTTGTGAACTTTGAGATTACAGTAAAAAAAATCTTTTTCAGTTCTGAAAAATCCAAGTTGATAGGAGCCAGTTAAACATGCAACAGATCTTAAGTAGAATATTGCATCATTCAGCCCTTTAGGCTTGTTCTTTTTCAGTTTGCATATAAAGCCAAGTGCTACAGAAGTCTGCAAGCACAGAGAAGGAGTCAGGGAAGAGAAGAAAGTGAGAGGTTGGTTATATGGCAAAGAACTGTGGTGAGAGGAGCAACAGACAGACTTATATGGTAAACCTAGGGACTGAAGGAATTCATCTGTTCATTGTGTTCACTTTTGTAAGCTCCTAGATGGTCTGGCTAAATTACAGGCACCATGAATTGAAAAAGAAGTAGCTGGCACGCCATAAAATAGGATAAATCTGGACAAGATGAATTTCAGAACTATGGAATACACTACTGGGCAATTTTGATTTTTACAAGCACTGCCTCCACTAGCATCTCCTCGATCGATTCCCAGCACACCTGGCAACCAAAATATATTTAAAAGAGACAGTGAAAAAATGCTCAGTATTTAAAAATGGCCACTACAGAATACGCCAGACAGGAATATTAAAGGAAGAGAAAGTAAGAAAGTACAGAGAGTGCTTATCATACACACCACAAAGTAAGATGTGTGTGGCACCCCAGGAAGCCTCTTGGGCTCCCTAGGGTGTAGATAATCTCAGAAGCACTTTCCTCATCCAAGAATTCCTTCCCCATGGAGGGAACATGCCCAGCACATCTGAAGGCTCAAATGTATACTAAAACTAAATCAGAGACACATTTACCCCAGGGAAGTTAGCAAACTGCAGAACAAAGAGAGACTATGAGCCCAGTCCACAGAAGGATAGGCATACCAGAAAGCAGTGGGATGTGGAGTGGGATGACTCTGTGGTGGTGGAGCAAGGTTTTGGTTAGGGGTCCCTTTACCTTTTACTATAATCATTATTTAATACTGAGGATTCCATTCTCAGGGGGTGATCCTCGATTGTGTCCACATATCAGAAAATTGGACACTGTCCTGGATCCCATTTAGGAGGTGTACCAGATATAAGGCAACATCACCAAAATATATGTAAACTTCACTTGTAGTGAAGTGGGGCTTGGGGATTTATGCGATTTAAGAACTTGTGGCTCAACTACTGGGCTGCACCAAAGTCCATTTACCAGAATTTTGAAGAAGGGATTTAGGTCAGTTTAGGCCTCTAGGAATGAGGATTTTTGTCAGCAGAGTGGACAGTTGATGATGATTGAATGTGGGCAGTTGAAGCCCCTCCGGAAATGCAAGGGTCTGCTTCTCTAGGTTCCGCCCACAAAAAATGGACTAGACTTTAACTGATCTTGAAACAGAACCTTACATTTTGCAACTCTGTGGAATTGCTGCGAAATAGTGGTTGAGTAGTTGCAGAGTGAGCAAACTTCCCTTGCTGATGACAACCACTTGCAGAATGAAAGTAGAAGGTTGCAGAAGAGGCTGGGCATTGTACTACTCATCTGATGAATTCAGTAGATCCTGGGTAAACTTCTTGTATTTCATCCTATTCTGTTAGAATCCCTGCTCTCCAAACAAAAAACTTGTATTGCTTGTGAAGTCAGGCCAGCCCTGACAGAGAGTTAAGACAGGCTTCTTTGGAAGAAGGCATCACCTGCAATGACTTGCGGGAAGCTCTTGGTACGTCTGAGTTATTCCCCAGAATTAGAATAGGGCTTCAGGCCCAGAGAATATTTTTCTGACTGTAAGAAAATAGGTTCAGGGTGCATTCATTAACAGTGGTGGGGATAAAGCTTGTTTAGATGTAAAGTATTATTTTCATTGCAGGAGTTCTTTTTCTGTGCTTCTTATTTATTCAAAGCAAATATAATCTTGACACCAGCCCAAATTTGCTTATAAGAAAAAGTTGTGATTCATTATAGCTTGCCATTTGTCAAAGAACACAGTCTAACTGGAAATACTTCTGCACCAACTCTACTTAAAACTATTTAGAACTATGCTGTGCTCATGTGTAGCTCCTGTTCATTTTAAAGTGGCTTGCATTGGAAAGCTTCATGCTGAATTGGGACAATAATTCTTAGGAAAGCATTTGCTCAGTATTGGCTCTACTGTGTGCCACCACTCTGAAATCCTGCTTATTTCCCATGACCCAGTCACTAAAGGACCAAACTTGTGCTGAGAATGCTGTTTGAGGATGGGAGCTTGATTTCAATTCCAAAATCCACTTATACCACGACACGTGCAAAAGAAGATTAAGTGGTGCCACACAAAAACAATTATCTTATACTATAAAGACAACAACAGAAAAGAACCACATGTGACAAAACTAGCACATAGACATAAAAACATATTCATCTCTCTTCTTCCCACCCACCAGCAACAGCACTCTTGTGAAATCAACACTAATATTTTATTTCATGGAGGTTTTCTGTGGGTGGGTGGAGGATGACTCTAGTTAGATAAAACATATCCTGGCCTGCTTTTTATTTGCTACTTCAGATTTTCATTTGTTTTTAAAATATGGTTATATTCTTTGTTCTGCTGAGTTTAGGGAGGTATGGACAAGCCTCAATCCATTATGATATTCATTTGCACTTTCGTCTGGTATTTTCCACTCCGCTGCAGTTGGCTTAATTTGCACAAGTCCATGTTTTGTTTCATCATTTGCTGATGCAGAAATATATGTCTACTTAATGAATAGTTATAACAGACAGCTTGTCTCAGCCATTAACAGATATTTGGATTAACTTCCTGGCATGTTCCCTTTCAGAGTTCATAAAGTGGCTAATAGCCCATCATAAATCTAACTATGGCTGCAACCTAACTATGTCTACTCAGAATTAAGTCCTATTGCATTTAGTGGGGTTTACTCCTAGATAAGTGAGGTTGGGATTGCAGCTACTCTTGCTACTTTGGTTTCACAGTTCAGTATATACTTGTCATCCTATCTCATTTTCCTCACTCAGATATCAGAGAGGGACAGTTTAATTATAGGTCAAGAAAGCTTTGGAGTGGGGAGGAAAGGAACTGCAAATTCAATATTTTTGTAAGCCACTTCTTGGTTGGGGTTTTTAAAAATTAAACAAGGTGTAAATTTTATGAAAGGCATAAATAAATAAATAAATAAATAAATTTTGCTTTTGAAACCAGGTTTTAGGGTAGTAAAAATGGGTGGTCAAAGCCAGATGTTTCTTCCCACTTTGATAAAAAGCTAGAAATTTAAGATAAAGCAGAAATAAAATCCACAGGTAACGGAAGGATTCATTATTGACTCTCTGCAGCAGCAAAAAGAACGAAACCTCAACAGCAGGGTAGAAGATCAATCTATCCCAGTCCTGGATGAGCTGGCTAAAATCTAATCATTAAGAGGTACTAACTTTTGCCCTGTGAAAAAAATGGAGCAGTTGAACACAAATTTCAGTTAAAATATTCCAGTGAATCAAGGCAGATGCCTGGAGTATATAAGACCCCCTTGAATAAGCAAAGCATGCAATTCCCACATAGCTTCAGAGGGGCAAAACCCGAACAGCCTGTAAGATAACACAAGTTTCAAAGCAGTATTCATAAATTAAAGAGTGAAGTGGCTAGCTGAGCAGAAGTCGTGATACAGCCCATTTTACACAACTGTTGTTGGTTACCCCACTATCTCACAGCTCCTAAGTGGCAAGTGGTTCCTTGGTCCAAAAAAAGGCCCCGATGCCTGAGAAAAGGCCTAAACCTTTGAAAATGCAAAGTCAGGTTCCTTATACATAGGAGCACTGTAGGGATCCCAGGTACACAACTTTTTTGAAGGCAACTGTGCTAGCCTCTGCCAACTGAGCCTTTGTGGAGAATAGGTAATTACATCCAGAACAAAAAAGCAAGGGGGAACAAACAAAAAGGAAATCTCATTGCAGGGAAAAAGAAAGCTGTTTCAAAATGGGAGCCTTTTTATCAGCTCCTAATACTCTTTATAAGGGTCACCAGTGTATGAACCACTGTGGCTGAGTGAGCCCTATTCATACATGGTAATTGCTGGCATACCAAACAAAGCTGGTAAAAGGCACTCTAAGCTGTTGAAGCCACCTGGACCTCAGGCAACAAAGATTAATCCAGGAGCACACTCAAGCGACATACCGTATTTTTCGCTCTATAACACGCACCAGACCATAACACGCACGTAGTTTTTAGAGGAGGAAAACAAGAAAAAAATATTTTAAACAAAATAGTGGATATATGATTTTCGTGGTTCATGCTGTGGCCACAGACATGTGATCTGACAGTGAGTTTGGAGTAGCCCAATGCAAAAATCCTGAGGATCCATGTGGATCCATGCTTTGTAACCATGGAGGAGGGAAGGAAGGGGAACCATGGATCCTCTGCTCACGACTGTAGCAGATCGCCCGCCACCCGCAGGCATTCGCTCCATAACACGCACAGACATTTCCCCTTACTTTCTAGGAGGAAAAAAGTGAGTGTTATGGTGCAAAAAATACGGTATCTGGTCCTTCAGGGAGAGTGCAAGCCTGTCCATAACAGGTAGCTGACCTGTCTCAGACCTGGAAACCATCTACCCACAAGGCTGGTTTTGCTTCAGTTTGTTGTTGTTGTTTAGTCATTTAGTCATGTCCGACTCTTCGTGACCCCATGGACAAGAGCACTGTCTTGCACTGCCTCCTGCAGCTTGTTCAAACTCAAGTTCATAGCTTTGAGAACACTGTCCAACCATCTCGTCCTCTGTCGTCCCCTTCTGCTTGTGCCATCAATCTTTCCTAACATCAGGGTCTTTTCCAGGGAGTCTTCTCTTCTCATGAAGTGGCAGAAGTATTAGAGCCTCGGCTTCAGGATCTGTCCTTCCAGTGAGCACTGCTTCAGTTTATTTGTCCTCAATAGCAAGTCTTGGCCATGTAGGTAGTAGAACTGAGCTGAAAGAATTAAGAACTGCATGTGGAAAAGAGACTTAAGCACATAGCAGGGGGAAATTACTAGTACATGTTATCATGTGAAGTTCAGTGGCATTGGGTTACTTTCCAACAAATTAGTTGGTTTAGAATAATAGTGATAAATCTCTTTGGACCTGAGAGTGTATATTTAATAAGAGATGAGTATCTTTTGAAAGTTTGCCATTTTAGCATATTTTAACAGGTTTCAAATGCTGGTTAGAATGATTTAATGATTTGTGTATTATGCAGTTACTAACCATCTGCAAAGCTGAAAAAATGCATATAATATTTGAAAGAAAATGTCACAATTTGTCATTAAAATTTTGGCACCGAAAAGTTTGACCAACTGTTAAAATAGATCATTTTCACTAATGATAAAATCAAATACACTAAATTCCTTTTGCATGTGTGCGTGCGCACACACACACACACACATACACAAACACTTTTAGACAAAAAATACTTTTTTCCAGACTGATTCTTTCACAGAGTTAAAATGTAACCACTTCTGAAAACTTCCAAATTATTATTAATAATAAGCCCCACTTGTTTATTTACTCAATAAGAACTCCCCACTCCACCCTGTTGTATGAATTCTGTTTACTGCAGCTGAGGGACTTGCTTGCAATTTAGTGCTTGATTTAATGAGGTCTGCCAGGATTTACAAAGCCATTGTATTTTGCAATACGGTATGTGCAAACTATCATTTTGTACAATGCAATCACTGTCTTTTAGATTTTGTTACTTTATAAGTGCTTCTATAATAAAGCCCTTTAGTGAAGCTGAGGCCTTGCTTTTCTGCCATTACCTAAAGCACAATTAAAATGGAGATGTCATATAACTAGTGACAGGTAGTGGGGCTGCTAGGAGGTCACAGGGGTGTGACCAAGTTGTTCTGTTTTTCTCCCTATCCTTTTCACTTGCAAAGATACTGTAGACACTTAAACATTGCTGTTTTACAAACTGTTACGTTGTTGGCATCTGTCTGTCTTGGGACACAGTGAAGGGTGCACCTTTGTGGGTGAGGTCAAGCTGTTGGAAGGTCGCAGCACCTACTGTGGCTGTAGAGACCACTATGGGAGAGACAAGTTTTGTTATGGCTGGGGCACATGAAGGCATCCGTTTGTGCTGCTGTAGATGCACTCTGGTGTTTCTTCTGTCTGAGCTCCTCCCAGCGGTCATTCCTCCTCTGGTTACTGCTATTAATTCATGACTTGACTGCCTGTTTCCAGGCACTGTGGTCTTCTGCAAGGGATTCCCACATGGCAGGGTTGATGAAGGTTGCCCACCTTCATGTCACATTTGCAGACATCTTTGTGGCACAGAGTTGGTCTGCCAATTGGCCTGGTGCCAGAAGCCAGCTCCCTGTAAAGCATGTTAACACCTTACTAAACTGAAAGGTAACACATGGTCCCATTGGGTTGCCCTACTTACCCACCTAGCAGCCACATTCTGCACAAGAGGCAGCCTCCAGACTGTCTAAGAGGGTGGCTTCACATAGAGCACATTGAAGTAGCCTAATCGAGAAGTCACTAGAGTGTGGACAGCTGAGGCCAGCCTATACTGGTTCAGGAACAACCAAAACTGGGGAAACAGCCTAAGCTGGCATAAGCACTCCTGACCACAGAAGCCACTTGAGACTCCAGTGACTAACTGGAATCCAGGAGTACTATGATCCTGTTCCTTCAGGGGAAGTGCAGCTTCTCCCAATGTAGGTTGTACATCTAATTCTCAGACATGGGAACCACCCACAGGACCAGGATTCAGCCTCATTTTATGGTCCCCTTCCAGCGCTTCACTGTTTCCAGGCACTGGTCCAACATCTTCCAAGCCTCTCCTGATTCAGATTGAATGGAGAGAGAAAGAGCTCCATGTCATCAGCATGTTGATGGCGCCATGTTCCAACTCCACAGATGACAGATAACAGTTTCATATAGCTGTTGAATAGCATAGGAGAGAAAATGGACCCTTGTGGGAGCCCATAGCTCAAAAGGCACAGAACCAAGCAACAGTCTCCTAGTACTATTTTCTGGTGATGACCCTGCAGGTAGGAGTGGAACCAATGTGATACAGTGCCTCCAATTCCCACCCCTCTGAGTCATTCCTGAGTCAAGACTCAAAGGGAATTTTGCTCTCGTGCCTAGAACATTTTGGTGTCATGCTACATGTGTGTATAAGTTAGGGTCTAATAAAGAAATGCAAGCTACATTGGGCTCAGATCATGTTTCCAGGGTTCTGTTAGCAAGAAGGGATATTTATCCCAGTCATTGACGGGAAGCCACAAAATGCAGATGTTTCCCTCAGATTTGTGAGTTAACAACACCTGCCCACACTTACTTAATTGGCTTGTTACTTTGCAGATATTCTGATTGTCATACAACATTAAATACTGTATAACATTTTCACCAATATGGTGTCTTTTGAGTCTTCTTACATGGTGTAGGGGGGAAGAATAAATCCCTTTACATGGCTGCATGACAGAAATGCATTCAGGTTGTAGCTCCAGTGCAGGGGGATGAATGATCTAGGCAGCTTGCCTTTAAGGACCCTTACAACAAACTCAGACTGCTTCCTTGGTAATGAACATGGTGTATTCAGTTGTGTTCTATAAAGGTCATTGCAGGCCCATGCCTCTCTCTACTGATATGAACTTGCCACCCTTTTAGCATTAAAATCAATATGGAATAATTATGGGGGCATGTCATTCACAGGGTCTTCCTCATAGACTTATTTCCTTATCTGAAATGGTCTGCATTAGTCCCAAACTACAGTCCTTCCTAAGGCAATGCAAGTGTTTGTTCTTATACAGTATCATCAGTGTGTGTGGTGTTTTGTTTTTTTTAAAAAAGATATTTATTAAGGTTTTCACAGTATTACAAAATGAAAAAAGAAAAAAAGAAAAAATACAAAATAAAAATAGTTAAAAACAATTCAATCTTTCCATTACTTATCTTTCATTTGCTTGTTTCCCCGGACCTCCTCCTAAATGCTCCCTTTTTTGTATTCCAGTTCAATTTATTAGTTCAGCAAATCCTTTCCCTCTTTGTTTTATCCTGATCTTTAATCTTAATATATTATAGCATTAAATTTTTACCTGTTAAAAATCCATTTTTTCATATTCCTTTATACCATTACAGCTAAAAACCACTTAACTTCAATCCAACATCATTCTAACATTCATTAATTTTGCAGTATTTCTGTAAATAGTCTTTAAATTTCTTCCAATCTTCTTCCACCGACTCTTCTCCCTGGTCACGGATTCTGCCAGTCATTTCCGCCAGTTCCATATAGTCCATCACCTTCACCTGCCATTCTTCCAGAGTGGGTAGGTCTTGTGTCTTCCAGTACTTTGCAATAAGTATTCTTGCTGCAGTTGTGGCATACATAAAGAAAGTTCTATCCTTCTTTAACACCGATTGGCCGACTATGCCCAGGAGAAAGGCCTCTGGTTTCTTCAAGAAGGTATATTTAAATACCTTTTTCAATTCATTATAAATCATCTCCCAGAAAGCCTTAATCCTTGGGCACGTCCACCAAAGGTGAAAGAATGTACCTTCAGTTTCTTTACATTTCCAACATTTATTATCGGGCAAATGATAGATTTTTGCAAGCTTGACTGGTGTCATGTACCATCTGTATATCATTTTCATAATATTCTCTCTTAAGGCATTGCATGCCGTAAACTTCATACCTGTGGTCCATAACTGTTCCCAGTCAGCCATCATTATGTTATGTCCAACATCTTGTGCCCATTTAATCATAGCTGATTTCACCGTTTCATCCTGAGTATTCCATTTCAACAGCAAGTTATACATCTTTGACAAATTCTTAGTTTTGGGTTCTAGTAGTTCTGTTTCTAATTTTGATTTCTCCACCTGGAAGCCAATTTTCTTGTCCAAATTATATGCCTCCATTATCTGATAATAATGAAGCCAATCTCGCACTTTGTTTTTTAATTTCTCAAAACTCTGCAATTTCAGTCTATCTCCATCTTGAGTGTGTGTGGTGTTTTGAATATTGAAAGAAGGGAGATAACAAAGGGAATCGATGGAAGAGATCAGTATAATGAGGATGTGCAATGTAGTCTAAAGGGTTCAACAAAAAAAGTTGGGGTATCATGGAAAACTATGCTGTAATTGTGATTAGTACTGGGTATTCTGAAAGCTGTAAGAGAATGCATAGTGGTAAGCAAGAAATGTGATGGAAGAGGCTGCAGAAGGAACTCACAGTAAAGAGGACATATTCTAAGCTATAGTATTTCCTTGCATTAACATTACCACGGATTCACCTTATTGCACAGTCTCTCTCACCTTTTCAACAGATGTTCTGCAAGATATCATGGCCACTTAAGAGTCCCAAATTGTTTTGTTTTAAATGACCAATAATGTTTTTGAAAATGTATAAAATTGATCATTCAAAAATAACAGCAATAGTAACCTTTTCATTTAAAACGTTGCACAGTTCAGATATCCCTGCTGCACACACACCTGTTTTTCATTCTAAACAAGAAAAATTATTATTGTGGAGTTTGGTTTGAGTTTAGGCCCATTTTTCTATTATATTAGTCTTTCAACTTCATTCTGTGGTTTCTGGCCTCATTTAAAAAATGACACTTGAGGGAACAAAGGAGAGCAAAATCATAACAAGCTTCCTTTGCTTTTGAGATGCAAGCGAAATGTTTCAGAATTATTTTATTTTCAGTCTTTATTTTTAGGAGGTAAAAATATTGCCCCGAGACTACACAGAATTTGAGGAAAGAAAGGTTACTGTGGTAATGGCCAGGTGCTTTCCTTTTAACAAGGCCAACTTTAAAGGATATAAATTTAGAGCAACAGCATCAGTACCAGTCAGTAGATATTTCAGTACATTAATGAAATGATTTCAAGTGCCTCCCAATAGAATCCTAAACTACAATATGGAGCAACCTTGCAATGCTTGAGGGCCTAAACACAAACCTTATGTTGCAGTCCCAACAAATATTGACTACACGGTGTAAGACTTGGGCTTTTGTTTGGTTCTGAATTTTTCTTTGCAAGAAAAATGTTTGTATTTTCAGGCAAAGGCCACCTGAGTTAACTCTGCATAATACTTATCAAATACTGTTCTTGGTTAAGCTCTCTGGCTATCTTAGGTCTATTATGTAATTCAATTAAATCATATTAATTCATCTATTGTTTTTCAATAATATTAAGATAATACATAATGCTATGTACATAAATTCATAAAACCAGTTAAGCTTCTGTGATCTAAGTATTTATGCAGTTTTTCGTCTTCCTGTTGCTAAACATGAACACAGCCATTTCTGTGAAATTCCATTGCTATAATAATAGTGTACTCGCTATATTGTGCTCCAGGAATGTTCAACTGATGTGCGTTCTCTTTTCTATTGCAGAAAGACATTGTTAGGCTGGTGTGAACTATGGCCCAGTTCTATTATAGAAGAAGCGTCAGTGCCCCTTACCGAGATCGAATCCCGCTACGCATTGTACGAGCTGAGTCTGAACTCTCACCTCCTGAGAAAGCCTATTTGAATGCTGTGGAAAAAGGAGATTATGCCAGTGTGAAGCAAGCCCTAGAAGAAGCAGAAATATATTTCAAGATCAATATTAATTGCATTGACCCCCTTGGAAGAACGGCTCTTCTTATTGCAATAGAAAATGAGAACCTGGAGCTCATAGAGCTACTTTTGAACTTTAACGTCTATGTTGGGGATGCTTTGCTACATGCCATCAGGAAAGAGGTAGTTGGAGCTGTTGAGCTGCTGCTAAACCACAAGAGGCCCAGTGGGGAGAAACAGGTATTTTCCAATGGAAGCTTTTTGTCTGTTGATAATTGCTGCTCTAAGTCTCTGTATGTGTGGAGAGGGGGCGATCCTTTTCAGGATCATGGTTGATGTAGAAAGGCTTAAACCTCCTCCCATCCTGCAGGAAATTAAGGGAGACTGTGCCTCGAATGTATTTTTTTTTATAAAAAACAACAACCCAATTGCCTCATGTGGATGCATCAAATGGTTAGGCCTTTGAAAGGTTTGTATTCCTAAACTGTTCCGAAAAGGCCAGTTGTAAAGATCCTAACCCTTAGTGGGAGACAGCTGTGCAGTAACTGAAAAGCACCTGGAGGGATGCATCTGATCCCTGACGTAAGGTTCCTGTGTGATAACCAGACACACATAACTGACATACTTGTCTAATTAATGCATGAAAGGTTTTAGACCAAAGACTAAGCTGTCCTGCCAGGCTCAGCTCACCTTTGGAGGAACTAGGTTATCAAGCCTACTGTTCTCTCCCAGCCTACCTAAGAAGAAGAGGTTTTGAGCGGGTTGCTACAGCTGTGACCACATGGCTCTTACAAGCCATTACTGTGTTCCAATACCAACAATTAGGAACCTACACCACTGTAGCTAAGCCAAATTTTACTGCCTGTGCAACTCTTTCTGAATGCTGTATGGAAAAACACATGAATCTGACCTTTGGAGAGTTTGTAAGTAAATCATTTTTAACTTACCAATCGTGTGGCCTTTTTCTATGTTAAGGCAAGAATTTTGGAACTCACAAGGACAAATTTTAAAGGTCTATTTCCATGATTTGCTTTGCTGCATATTTTGTGTTTTTAAATCTCTTTTTGGGTTCTCTCACCAAAGTGTACTTGCCCCAGACTTGGATCTTGGCAACCAGAAAGTCTCCTTTCTATATACAGTGGTACCTCAGTTTACGAACTTAATCCGTTCCAGAAGTCCATTCTTAAACCGAAACCGTTCTTAAACTGAGGCACACTTTCCCTAATCAGGCCTCCCGCCGCTGGTGCCCTTTTACCATTCGGCTTCCATTCTTAGACCAAGGTAAAGTTCCCAAACTGGGACACTACTTCTGGTTTTGTGGAGTTCGTAAACCAAATAGTTCGTAAACAGGGCTGTTCTTAAACCGAGGTACCACTGTACCTATATTTTCCCTTGCCACCAGCAGTTCCCAAGCCCTGCTTTAGAGTATCCAGTATCTAACATTTGTCCAGGTCCCCTTGTGCCTCTCTGTTCCTGCTTCTGATGAGAATAGTTTGGATGTCAGAGCCCTTGGGTAAGAGTCAGCCAATGAGGCAGGAGGAGAGAAGAGGCTTAATATGCAGAAGTGGACAGCCTGCTGTGCCATAATGTGTGTATCCAGAATGGCAGTAATATCATAGGAGAAGAGTGGAGGATTATAGTAAAGTGCTATGCAAAGCTGATAGGTGCTCTACTCCCTGAAATGTTGAGAAAGGTGTGGTGAAGGCAGATTGGTAAGTGAGATTACTGCAAAAAGTAGCTCTGAGGTTGCAGCAAATGCTGCTCTGTGTCAGTCAGAAACACTGGGAAGAGTCCTAGCAAATAGAAAATCCGAGCATGTATAGAAGGCAAGAGAGATAATATAAGACCTGCACCCCTGAATGATGTGCTAGAACATTTTTGTGTAGAGATTAGAAATAGATGTAAGTTTCTGGTCTTTTCTTGTCTGCTTTAATTTTCATACATTATCAGGGCACTGTTAAAATATTGAAATGAACAGCATATTGAAATGTCTGGGGGCATTTCACAATGCATAAGGTATCATTTAATTACACTATCTTGTTCTCATTGTGGATTCAGTAGTGAAAGAGAAGTAAAACGTATAATTCATTTCTTCAATAGCATAATGAGAGCTCATTGTTGTATTGTGAAAGCATTCAATGTATCATCCCTGTTTTTGCACTGCTGCAATGCTATGCAGTCTGAATGAAAGGGAATAATCAATTCCCCTTTGGAATTCCCCCCCCCCCCCCCCTTATTATCTTTCCATTTTTGGAAGAGAGAACAGGAGAAATCTCTGTATCCTCTTCTAAATATTATTCATACAGAATACTACATTGCTTGTTTTGTATCCTGTAATTTCAGACCTCATATATTCTTCTGTGACTCAAAATTCCAGTAATAATTCTATATAAGTAAAACCTCTCCCTAAGAAAGAACCCAGAATGAACCTTACCAAAGCTGCAAAATTCCTGAATTACGTTGTTGTTGTTGTTGTTGTTGTTGTTGTTGTTGTTTTTGCTGTCTTTTACTTTTTACTTTGCTCTGGAGTTATGAATGGGCTCTGTATATGCCACAATTCCGCAGGAGTGCAGGAAGAGCTCAGAACATGACATTGAACATATAATTTCTTTATGAAATCTCAGAAGCTAGGAGGAAGGGCCAATCTGAATAATAATTCCAGTAGATGGAAGAGGGGCTTGAATTATGTAAAAACAGCAAACATTGCAGAATACATTATGCATAAGAGAAAATATACAAATATATTAATTTGCTTATTTAATACATAATATAAAATCCAACTTTCCTTGGGGCACAGTTTGGATTGCAGAAAGTTAATTTTTTTAAAAAAATACTGAGTTACATATTTCTCGGTGCACAGAAACGGCAGATAATTAAACTTAGTACAAAGCACATAGCGCAACTCAGCCACAGTTAAGCACATTTAAATCCTTCCAGTTGGTGCATTAATGTGTGCTTACATGCCTTCCATTGACATCAGACTGACATATAAATGCTTGTATTTGTCTGGATTATGCCCATTTTTTTTTAGTAGGATGGAAACAAACTATGAAACTTCTCTCATATGAAATGCATTCTGAACTCCACAATTCTTATAAAGGATGGACCACTCTCTCTATATATTTTCATCCCTGAAAATTACAGCTCCAAGGTTTCAACCAATATTAATCTTGCCTGAATATGGCATATTTTGGATGCATAAGTCCGACTTGTGTGAATGTGTGAGTGAAAAGGGGGAAGCGTCTGTTTGTACCTGTGGTCTGTGAGAGGTGTGTGTGTACAAAAGAAATATGAATATGTTAGCGGTGTGTGTGTGGTCTGTGTGGGAGATACGCACTTAGGCAGAGAGAAAGGGAGAGATGTATGAGTGATATGTATATACTGTATATGACTAAGTGAGGCATGGATACATCTGTGGTCTGTATGTGAGTAGTGAGTGTGCATGAGGAGGTCTGAGGCTCCTTGTGGTGTGGATCCTGGAGCAGCTGCTGTAGTTGCACCATTATAATCCAGCTCTGATTTAGTCTCACACTCAAAGTCATGCAGCTTCTCTATGTATAGAGAAGGCTCCCTGCTTCAGGCTGAATGCAATGACAGCAATTATGGGAGCAGGAAAAGCAGTATGAATTTGAGCATGGGGCTAAGCACATGACCCTGAATGCCCCCTGAACACACTTTCCTTCTATCTGAGAGTAACATGACTCCTACACACTTAATTCATATCAGCAACTCCCCTCACAGGATATGTGTCTCATCCTTCAAACTTCGTTGGTCAATGTTAAATAGATACTTGCATCAAGGGACCATCTCAGTTAGTTTTCTATATGGCCAAATAATGCTTTGTTCAGAGTTTGATTCTATAATGTCTCTGGTATGTAGCTAGATAATTAAAGAAGCATGCTAAAGTTGTAACAAATGCCGCTCTAGAAAAATTAGAACTGGTTCATAGCAAGTGCACATAGAAATGGACTCGGGAACAAACATCCAAGACCAAAATAAGTTAAAATACTTCCCTTCACAAGCAAGAATAACTCAGAGTTCCAGCGCAAAGAATGACATGCAAATAGTAGCAATATATCAAATCACAACATATAAAGAACACAGAACAAGGCTTTGCAGAAGTGAGACACTTGATCTTTACAACAGCTTACCTATCTGAGTGCAAACAAGTTTTGAGTTACTCAGAGAGCTAAAAATTTGTTCAAAGGTGATATATATATTCACAGTTTGATGTGTACAAGAATGTCTGATTTATTACACATATCATTATTTATGTTCAGAGTTGATTGCTGGCTAGTGCAACTAAATGAGAGAAGGAGGCTATGTAAATCAAAGCCAAAAAAAGGATATCAGGCTATATCAAAATACTGCAGTAAATCCCAACTATGAAGTGAGCTACATATTTCCATATATCATATATATTTTTAAGTGTTGGGTTTGGGCTGTCTGGCACTCCTGAACCCAGTGTTAAGCTTCTCTCTTCCCAATCAAGCAACAAAGCCTAGAAGTCCTACTTGCTGTTGTCACTTGCAAATTTCAGCCTTGTTTGTCCCATCCTTATTAATGGTGGGTGAGGGAAAAACAACCACTTTGTTCTCCATATGCTCAGTTGTCCTTTGTTGTGTGGTTCCGAAGTGCAAACCCCATACAAGGGATTTTGACAGGTGGGCAGCTCCACCTACCTGTCAACTTTGTCCTGCAAGGCTGATACTGATAAGGATCAGGCCCTTCAAACCAAAAAGGTTCCCCACTGCTTACACTGAACAAAATAATTTGATTTGTTGCAAACTCTAGGAAACAGTAATGAATTGGGCTCGGAACATGAACAAGTAAGTAAAGTGTTGAGGAGGTTAGCTCACTTTTCAGTGACTATTTGGTTCTGGATACATTATGGATATCTGTAGGTAAACAAAACAACACAAAACAAAACCTTGCACTCCATAGAGAGCTGGGCTGAATGTTAGTAAGTTTCAATTTCTTCCAAAACAAAGACACCATCCCAAAAAATAATTTGGAGTAGAATAGCCACATTTTTTCCATTCACTTTTGATGGAGCATCTGCTTAACAGCTCCAAAATAGATGCAAAATTTATTCAGATGTAGATAAACTATTGCACTGTTTTCTTGGCCCATAACATTGCTCTAATCATTTCCTTCTCAGTGACTTATAGCTCCCTTCTAGAAATCAACTTTTGCACTTTAACCCTCCCATTTGAGCGTAGTGCTGATAATGCCAAGATCATGGGTTTGATCCCCATATGGACCCCCTACATATTCCTGCATTGCAGGGGGTTGGACTAGATGACCCTTAGGGTCCCTTACAACTCTATAATTCTGTGATTCTATGGCTCTTTTCAAATAGCATTGCCTTTATAGCCATTGTAATCTACTACCTCATAAGTTGCAATGTGGGGAGGAGAAAATTATGAATGGGAGTGCAGTGGAAGGGGGACAGAATAATTAACTCTCTTTTAGCACTACGGTTTCTCCCTTGCTACTTCTGCTGCTTTGGTACCATTTTACTCCTTGGCTGCTTCATTCGCTTTCCTGTATTGCTCACACGAAGGACCACTGCCAGTCAGGGATTAAATAAAAGAGCGTAATGCCACAATGGGTAAATACACACTGCATTATTGTTTTGTATTTTATTATTGAAAACTTTTAACCATTTAAAAAAGATTTCTAGCCACCACACAGGCAATCTGTTGGGTCACCTTGCCCAAAATTCCTTGCTCTGAAGGACTCCTGGCCCTTTCTCAGTGAGACAGAGGGAAGAGGGAGCTTGGGGCCAAGGTACAGCCAGCACAAATGCCACATTAGCCACAGCAAAGCACTAAACATTTCAGGGTGTGGGTGAATAAAGAGGGTGATGGCATTGATGCTACCTGCCTCAGGCAGACATTCAATGTTTTGCACCAGTTCTGACCTGCAGCTTTGCTCTGATAGATGCCACAGACTTTGTAGACATGAATTATACTTCCTTCAAAATGGGCAAAAGCAGCCCCCTTTTATTCCCCTGGGTGGGTGCAAGATGGAGAGAGAACAAACAAAACTCAGAAGCATTTGCAGTGATTAAGGTGCTGCACTACTTTGCAGTGGTCTGTACTCCCATGGACTGTTCCATCTTTGGCTGTGCTGCTGCAATGGATCAACTGTTCCGGGGATGTTTTCCAGTCACTTGCTTCTACGGAGTGTTATTTCTATGGAGAATTTCAAAGGCACTCATCTTTCATGGAAACACTGTCCAAACCTTCCCAGATTGCTCGAGCCCAGATTTATGATTTATATTTAGTGCACATGATCCTGGATTTCATGACCCTGAACCTGAACAACAGCCAGAACCCTGGCACAAAGGAGGAGGAAGGAGCTAGCTCAAGAAGACCAGTCATGTAAGCAGTGAAGATGCTGAACCCAGCATCAGGCCCTGACACAGAACCTGAGCTGAAGTTCTGTGCCAGGCTTTGGGAAGCAGGTGTAAGACTCTGACAGGGTCCTAGAGCCCTCTTGCTTCCTTCTCAAAGCTCAGTAAGTGTTTGCCCAGCTTTGGGAAAAGAAGCAGGAGGACTCCAAGACCTTTACTGGGAACCAGTGGCGCTGCCCTAAAACCACCTCTGCCTTACATCAGCTGTAAAGAAGCTGAAAAAGCTGACATGATTAGCCTCTTAGCTCATTATTAATGTTCATGGAAGAAGCCACAGAGGGAGAGGTAGAAGGAACGCTCTTTTATAGTCTGCATCTCTGGTTGTTTTTACTTTCCGGACTGTTTTATTGTCGAACAAAATGAACAAGTTCATTTTCAACATCTTATTCTTATTCAACATCTTTATCAACGACTTGGATGATGGACTCAAGGGCATCCTGATCAAATTTGCAGATGACACCTGTCAAGGCTGCCTCAAGTCTCAGCTCACAAAAGACCAACGCCTATGTCTTCTTATATACAAAGGTGTTTATTGCAGTTCATTGTTTGCTTGACATCCTAGGCGCGCAGCCTTACGTCTCTTACGCTTAGACCGCTGAAGTCCCCTCTGAGTCAGTCCCTCCCCTGCACCAATTTAAGAGACTTGCGCTGCTCCACCTCTTTCTCTCCTTCCTTTTCCGCAGGGTCCTTCTGCCCGCTGGGGTTTCGCCCCTCCTGGATTCCTCTGACGCGGAATCAGACTGCTCTTCCCCCTCCTGCGGGCTTTGGGACCTGGCCCCTCCTCCGGGCTCCCTGTACTTCCGCGCGCCTCTACATTTGAACTAGGCGCGCGCGCCAAACCTCTAACTTTCCTTTTGACAGTTACACTACTCCCTTCACTGCTCCCCTCCCCTTCCGGGAGGGCGGCTTGCTCTGACCCCCTTCCTTTCTCTGCTGCCGGAGCTGCTTCCTCTGACACACTGGAAACTCCACCCCCTTCGCTGCACTCTGGTGGGGAGGCTGGTCCTGACGCCCAGCTGCCACTTTGGGATCCTCCGCTGGCCCCTGCTCCTGACACGTCCCCCTGGGGCTCCCTGGCCTTGACCACCGGCGCCCCCTTCTGGGAATCCTCTGATTCGCTGGAAAGACTCATGGAATCTCTTGAGTCATTGTCATCCTCTTCCTCGCTTGCTTGGAATTCCTCCCCATCGCTCTCCATCTCCTGCCTACCCTGTGCCTCTCTCCCTGAACCCCTGACAACACCAAACTGGGAGGGGTGGCTAACACCCCAGAGGACAGGATCACACTTCAAAACGACCTTGACAGATTAGAGAACTGGGCCAAAACAAACAAGATGAATTTTAACAGGGAGAAATGTAAAGTATTGCACTTGGGCAAAAAAAATGAGAGGCACAAATACAAGATGGGTGACACCTGGCTTGACAGCAGTACATGTGAAAAGGATCTAGGAGTCTTGGTTGGCCACAAACTTGACATGAGCCAACAGTGTGACGCGGCAGCTAAAAAAGCCAATGCAATTCTGGGCTGCATCAATAGGAGTATAGCATCTAGATCAAGGGAAGTAATAGTGCCACTGTATTCTGCTCTGGTCAGACCTCACCTGGAGTACTGTGTCCAGTTCTGGGCACCACAGTTCAAGAAGGACACTGACAAACTGGAACGTGTCCAGAGGAGGGCAACCAAAATGGTCAAAGGCCTGGAAACGATGCCTTATGAGGAACGGCTAAGGGAGCTGGGCATGTTTAGCCTGGAGAAGAGGAGGTTAAGGGGTGATATGATAGCCATGTTCAAATATATAAAAGGATGTCACATAGAGGAGGGAGAAAGGTTGTTTTCTGCTGCTCCAGAGAAGCGGACACGGAGCAATGGATCCAAACTACAAGAAAGAAGATTCCACCTAAACATTAGGAAGAACTTCCTGACAGTAAGAGCTGTTCGACAGTGGAATTTGCTGCCAAGGAGTGTGGTGGAGTCTCCTTCTTTGGAGGTCTTTAAGCAGAGGCTTGACAACCATATGTCAGGAGTGCTCTGATGGTGTTTCCTGCTTGGCAGGGGGTTGGACTCGATGGCCCTTGTGGTCTCTTCCAGCTCTATGATTCTATGATTCTATGATTCTAAGTTATAAGGTGCTAGAAGATCTAGCTATCAATTAGTGTTCGTATTTTCAGCGAACAATCTTAACTTTCTATTGATTTTACTATAGTTTAAATGCCATCTAGTGTTTAAATGAGGCATTTCATTTTTGAAAAGATCTTTGTACAAATTAAATCCAAGTCACTAAGGCCAATCTTTATAATGTATTTTGCAGCTATTTCAATTACAACCTATTTTACAGTTTATGATTGGGATTATTTTGCCCTGTAGCATTAATTACCTTTTTTAAGCCAATAAGTCACTATTTATGATAAGTACTTTGCCATATGACCTGGTTTTATTATTTTGGATCTCTATGAAGTTTTTAGTATGACAGAGCCCAGTTTTTTCTGCAGCAGCATTAGAAGTTCTATTCTGAAGGCCCTGGATGGATTTCCATCTAGTTTGTTATCACAACACAGATGACTCCTGCATCTATTCTGTTAAATTATCATTTCATATGTTGCCCAAGCTGCAACACTACATTAACACCTGCAGTATTGTAACACTTTGCTACACAAAAATGCCACTAGCAATGACTTGTTAGCCCTCTTTGATAGGTGAGAGTACAGCAATTTGGGCAATGCCCAAGTGGTTCAAAATTTTAATCCCATCTTGGCCACACTTCATTGTGTTAAAATGTGTAGCTTGCCCCCACATGTCTGCCAGCCAAGATCCATTTAGGCAGAAATAGCAGGGCGTCAACCTGGGGTCTTTTGCATTCAGAGTTTATGCTCAGTCATTGAGTTATAGACCCTTAGAATCGCACTGTGCAATTAAAATTAGTGACTCATGTCCTGCAGGCATGGTTGGAGTCAGTTCTGGATTGACCCAGAAGAAAAGGTTCAAACAAGCTGGTTCAGTATATTGTATTCAGATGCCTATATTTTCTCCAGTTGTCCATTACTTTACTGAAGTATTCCCAACTGGCCTTCTTTATTACTTTACTTTTAAATCTACCTCTCTTTCCCCCCACCACTAAGGTCCTCCAAGCAGCTCACAATAAATATCTACATAATGTTACACACTACCCCAGTCTCTGAGAGGTGCAAGATTCCAGGGGTCCAGGGTCTTTGTTTCCTTTGGAAATGAGACACAGCGGAGACTTTGTGGTGTGCTTTTGATATATGGCATATATAGAGAGAGAGAGAGAGAGAGAGTGTGTGTTTATACATATATACAACTTGAGGCTATGATGTGGATTGGGAGGGGGCTTCCAGCATTGCACTTTAAGAGGGTCCTGTGTCTCCCATTGCTGCAGCCTTGGATTCAAACTGTCAGTTCATATTGTGTTCTGACCGTCCTCCCTTCAGGTTGCCGCATTTAACAGACTGCAACCACTTTCCTCCCAGGTCACATAATCACCCCTGCAATCCTGAACTCAGCTCTGCTAACTATTACTCCATGGAACGAGGGGCTCCATCCCCTTGCTGTCTGGCACAGCCTATATCTTCCTAATGGCTCTTCACCTTCCCTTTGTTCTTCCTGATGGTTCTTCTCCCAGGTGATTTCCTGAATGGGAAAGCTAGTTTGGCCTATATTTTTCCTAAATCCAGCATCTGGCAGCCCATTTCAATACTCCAAGCATTGTTTGAACTCCCAACACCAATTAGACCCAGCAGCTATTAGACACAGGCATTTCGGGGAGTCAAAGCACCCACAAACCCATCACAATAACAACAAAAACCCAGTAAAATACAAATCCATTCAGCAGGAAGATAATGTTACATCCTTTTGTAAAATCCCTACAAAATCCCTTGACCTACTGTTCTTATTTTTGAAGATGAGTCAACAACATTCAATAGAAAATTAGCAACTTTGGAGCCAGTCCTCATTACAAATTAAACAGATTCCTTAATCAAGGGCAACATAACAATGGTTTCTATAGTGGTGAAAAGCACAGTTATGGTGAAGATTATCCACTAGTTGGCCTCCTGATGAATATGCATTATTTTTGGAATTCAATTATCTTCTCTTTGTTATGCTTTTCGCACATCCTGCTGGCAACTGGAGTTGTGATAATGTAAGAAATTAGCTACTTTGCATGTCAAATATTGCCCAGCTGATCACACATTATTTTCCCCTTGACAGAATCCGTTTCATGTGGCAAAGACAGCAAACTTAGGGCATATACCAACATGTCTGCAGTAGCAGGGTTTATTTATTTTTTATTTTTAAAGAGAAAATGAGGGATGTGTATATTCACATGTAAAAGAGGAGATGAGTGCATGCCAGGAATCTGAAAAAGCTGTAGAATATGCTAGACTGCTGTCGAAAGTCATGCCCAATTACCTGGAACAGGGGTTGCCAACTTTTTCTGGGCAAAAGGGCACATTAGGAATTTTGACAACAACAAGAAGAATCTTTATTACAGCCATAGGACAGTGAATTTTGTCAAAATGTTGTAAGTCACCAAGTGGCTGTCAGAGGCATGGCATAACACAAAATGGCTGTCATGGGAATGTGATGTAACATAAAATTAGAGTACACTTACTCCTGCTGTTTCACTAACCTACAGACAGCCTAATGTTTACTGCAGAAAGTTAGCTGTGTTCTGCTGGTCCTGATTGGGGAGATCACACAATATGGATTTCACACACAAACCCATGAGCGCGTGCACACATACACATGCTGTTGCTGTCTGATAACAACAAGGATCATTCCCTAGTACCAGGAAATATACATGAAATGGGTGCTCTGCCAGCAGTGGATTTAGAACAGTTCAGGCAATTCCCTCTCACAGGGCATCGAGCTGAGGGGGCACAAAACAACAATAACAATATTGCCTATATTTACATGGGGACCTACTGAGAAGATCCATAAAAAAGCAACTCTCCAAAGGAATTATTGCGAAAATAAGAAATATTTGGGTGTGAGTGCACAAGATTTTGTCCTTGCTCAGGACCCCATATTACCAAAGTCTGCCCCTGACATCACATGCACATGGCAAGGCCCCCAATGTCGGTTGGAACTCGGTGCCTCTGATGTACAACATCCATCAACTGAACTTAACCTTCTCTAACTGAACAAGCTAACAAACAGCCTTGCTTTTAAGATTCTATTAATCTTACAGATACAGTAACATAGATCATGCTGTACGTGAGCAAAGGGGTTGCAGAACAGGAGAGAGAAGGCATAGAAACAGGGATGATCTATGTAGAAGGAAGAGTTGAGAAAAGCTAGTAGAGGGGGGAGAAGGGAAAGGGTTGAAAATGGGGGTGCAAAGAAGGTTGGAAAAAGGGAGTAGTAGACACAAGAATGGGGGTTGAGATGAAATCAGGGGCTTGAAAGGGTCTGCAGAATAGGAGGGGATGGTGACTTCATAATTGGGCAGAAGGTGAAAAGGTTGGTTAGTATTCATTGCAGTGTGCAAGAAGAGGAAGATGCAGGGGGTCACCATGAAGGTGGCTTGTGTACAAGGAGGTGGGGGTGTTGCACAAAAGGTGAGGAAGAAGGAGGGATGGGTTGGTGGGGCAATAAAATAGACATGGCTTCACAAATGGGCTTAAGAAGGTGAAAAGCAAGCATTACAGTTGCATGGGGTGAGAAGGGCAAGCCCTAGGGTTTTAATGTGATGGGGAACGGCAAGAGAATTGGCAAGTGGAGTTGACAGGCATGCGATCTCTAGTATTAAATAAAAATTTACCTATCCTCATCAAACCTGAGTTCTGAACTGTCAGGTTTATGAAATAAACTTAACCCCTTGTTATATTCATTAGATATCTGCCAACCTTCTGCAAATTTATCTTGCCTTAGCCTTTTTTAAATTGATGTCCAAAAACATAGCCACGTTAATAATTTAAAAAGCAGCTGGAGGACAGTTAGTGGCTACTAGCCAGAGAATCTAAATGAATCAATATGCTCAGAAACAGTATACCTCTGGTGCTACTTTTGAGGATGATTACCAGAGGAAAATACTTTGAAAAAAATAGAAATGAAGAAATTTAAGATTATTATTATTATTGTATAGGCACAGTAAACAAAGAGAATTTTCTTCCAAAAGAGCCCTACATTTGCTAATCAATTAAAGGCTGATTTGCACAATACAGTGGTACCTCGGGTTACAGACGCTTCAGGTTACAGACTCCGCTAACCCAGAAATAGTACCTCGGGTTAAGAACTTTGCTTCAGGATGAGAACAGAAATTGCGCGGCGGTGGCGCAGTGGCAGTGGGAGGCCTCATTAGCTAAAATGGTACCTCAGGTTAAGAACAGTTTCAGGTTAAGAACAGACCTCCAGAACAAATTAAGTTCTTAACCCGAGGTACCACTGTATATTTTTGGCTACATGAATCAGCTGCAGTATATTGTTGAAACTGAATAAATGCAGATGTAGACTGGGCAATTATGCATATGGTCAGAAATGATTGCTTTAATCTTAATGGCATTTTTCCTAACCACCGTGAGAAATTGCTGCTGAGCATGTTACCTGATGCACACATAATACAGATGCCCACACAGGCTCCCTCCATAATTGGGATTACCCTCAAATCAGCTTCCACAACCATCTTGGAAACTGCTAGAAAAATTGCAGACAGCCACAGATACCTTGGGGTGAAAGACTAAAGCCTTATATGCGTGCTTCTGCAGGAATAATGGCATGAGGGAGAACTGGGACAACATTTTGAAGCTCCACCTCCCTCCACCATGTCATGTTCTTGTTTTCAGCCCTTCATGTGCTTGAGGGCAGAATTGTGAAATGGGGCACCTCCTATATTCTTAGAGGTTCCCTCCACAGTTTAGAACCCCTGCTTTAGAGGTTTGCCCTCCAACTCACGGAGGGCTTTAAACAGGGCAAAAGGGATGCACCAGAGGGACTGAGGCATAACTCTGTGCCCCTGATCTCCCTTATCATGAATACCAAACACGGTTTATTTGCTGCTGCACTCTGTATTTCAATTCAGCCTTCCTTTTTAGAAGAATGTGACTGCAAATATTTTAAGCAAAACAAGAACACTTCATTCTGACAAACCTATCTGAGAATGCTCTCTGGAATGTCAATAACGTTCCCCCTTCACACTAAGACAGATAGGTCTTTATTTATGATGTTATGCCAGGGAAACAATCATAATTGAGGAGACTGTGAGTCACATCCAGATATACAGACCCATTTAAATTCAGCAGATGTATGAACATGGACACATAAATAATGACAATGTATTTGCCTTCTTTCGCTATGCTCCTCCTACAAGACTTTGGGAACAGTCTATATGCTATATACTGCATCACAATCTCCTGGGCAAATCATGACTCTACATTTCTACAGCACCTCTTCTCTAGAAATTTGACCTCTTGAAGCTTGAATTATTTAAATGTCTACTATGCACAGAATTAAAGCACATGGTTCAGAACTTGTATTTCCCTTGCTTGTGGGATTACTCTGCTGCAAGTGACAAAGGCAGAGATGTCAAACTGTTTAGCAACATTACACAGACAGGGAGAAGGGAAACTGTTTTCAGTCTTCATTCTGCGCTCAAATATACCTTTAGCTGCCTGTAGCTGCTTTCCTGAAATTTCCAAGATAATGAGAGCTCCAGGGCCTATGTCAATTTTGCGAGGCGGGTGGACTTGCAAGAATTGCTAAAACTAATGAGTTTCTCTGTATGGGGAAAAAAAACATGCATAAACCTGAAGCCAATCAGATTAGTACTCTAGTTCTCAGTGTAGTCAGTTGCCTGCCAGAATTACTTCCTAAGATATCTATGCAAACAATTCAACAAACTGAGCACCTCAAACTAATTTAGGGCTAAACTGTGCCTGTGGTTCTTGTCTACATCAAGTAAAGGTTTGAGAACCCAGCTATCACTTTGTGACTAAAGATGGATTGTCAAAGGGGATATTTTTTTTCCCTTTTCCCATAGCACTAGTTCATCATGCAGATGTTAGTTAGAAATACTGATGGACTACTCTGGTTCTTGCTGTCGGCTAGTTTTTCTGCTGCCCTGTCTAGTGTGGTGTGATTCTCTTCTTTGAATAAATTGGATTGGTTGTACTAACCAGATTGCTTGTCCCAATGTTGCCTTTGCTTGGTTCATGTGGGTCCACTTTGTTCTCTGCTGTCATAATCTCCTTGATGATCTGCATATCCTGAAAGCAGAACTCACACAATACCTTTGATTTATTAGAACCAACCAGACACCACAGTGAGGGAAACTAATTTGCACAAAACCACCCTCAGGCTAAATGTGAAACAAAAATACTGAGTGATCTTTGGTCAGCAGCACCATCTCAGCTTAAATCTAGCACACAAGGATATTGTTGAGATAAAAGAGGGTAAGACCTGTATGCTGCTGTGAACTCCTAGGAGAATGTACACATTAAATATATGCTAAAAATTAACTTTAGAAAAAAAACTATATTAACTCAATACTAAAGATGGAAGTGGGAGTGGGGGCTGAGAGCTAGTGTCTTTTCCAAGGCTGCTGCTGCTATTGTTGTTGTTATGATTTTTATTATTATATATACTGCCCTTCATCATAAGATCTCATGGCAGGTCACTAGTGAGTTTATAATTCTGGAATCCCCAATATGGTGACTATGGTGACCCTTTCATTTTTTTAAATCTGGAATTTATTCAGTTTTGCCCTTGGGTGGTGCCCAGGGTTTTTTAGGAGAGGTGGATGACATTTGCTACTATTTTGTGGTGTGCCTGCAACAGTTCCTTAGATTTCTAAATGTGCCCACAGAAAAAAGTTTGGAGACTTTTCTTCTACTACTACAAAAACTGACATTTCAACCCAGGACTTTCTTGCTTATACCCATGGCAACCACAGTATACCAACTCACATTGCAATGTGCTGACCAGTCTGTAATTTAATACGTTATTATGACCAGACGGGAGAAAGGAATATTTTATGTTCATACTGGTTGAAATAACAATACACTGAAATGGAGCAAGATAAAGAAGAAAATAATTAGGAATACAATTGACAATGACATTTACAGTACCGGTAGTTTATCAAGGTTTATATACCGCTTATAATGGTTTGCTGTGCAAATACTGAGTGATTGTCAGTATTACGATTTGCAAAGTTACAGCAGGCATAATACCACTAGAAGTCTATATTTTTACAATCCTAAGGCATCACACAAATATCAGATGGTGAGTTCTAAACTTGTAAACCAACATGGAATGTTTTGGTTCCCAACTTAGAATGTTATTCCAAACTAGTCTCAGGGTTCATTTCTGCTCCTATATTGAGTCTAAAACATTAATTGACCCTTAACCTTACAAATGGAAACATCTGTACTAAGAGGCAAAAGCAAGAGGGAGAAGAATCCCATCATAAGCTGTTGCCAAACATGTTACAACCTGACTAGAAGTATTGCAGCCCGATACTTCAATTCTGTGAAGCAATGTGCTGAACTCTGTGGTACCCAGCCTTGTGCATCCCTCCTCAGCTTGTTTTTTCTCCCAGTTTCTCTTCCCACTCATGTTTCTGCATCCTTCCCCTTTCATTCTTTCTTTTCTAGGCTTCTGCCTCTTCTACTCCTCCTCTTTGCTTAAGGATTTTCTGCCTGCCCTGACCTTCTCTAGAATTAGAGCAGCTGAGCCAATGGCAACCCAAGGCCTTTCTGGCTCCCCAACCCCTCCAATATGCAAGCTTCACTGTCACCCCTACTGCTTATGTCACTATCACAAAACCCTGAGAATAGTGTTTCTCAAACCATGGGCTATGGCCCACTACTGGGCCTCAGCATTGTTCCAAGTGGTCCTTGTATTGGAGTATATATAGTTTTGTTTAACTATTTATTTTGTGCTTTTATCCTTTTATGTTGTGAATTGCCCTGAGATCTTCGGGATGCGAATGGGATCTGTTCCGGAGCCCCGTTTGCATCCTGAACAGAACGTAAGACGCAACTGTGTGTCTGCATGTGCGCGGGTTGCCTTTTGCCGCTTCCGCGCATGCGCGTGATGTCATTTTGACCATCTGCACATGCACGAGCAGCGAAACCCGGAAGTAACGTGCTCCGTTACTTCCGGGTCGCCGCAGAGCGCAACCCGAAAATACCTATTCTGAAGCATATTTATCCCAAGGTATGACTGTACTGTATATAAATTAACAACAACTTTATTCTAGTAGTTACATTAAAACATAGAGTGCAACTCTATCCATTCAAGTGTGGCATGCTGGGGTTCAGATGCTACTTTGCTCTGTACTTTCTTCCACCACTAGGGGGAGTGTGTTCTTTTCTCTACAGCTTTACATTTAGGTTAAACACATTTAGGTTCTTTTTCCCATGATTTCTGAAATGCCCCAACAACTTTCTGACAACTTACAGAGCATGAGAGTTGACACAGTCCTCACTCACAGTTTCCCAAAAACGTTTCTCTAATCTGCATTGTTTCAAAGGCAAATATAATGAGGAGAAAGACTTGCATTGTTAACTGAGAGGAGAAATTACCATTCTATGGCTTGGTCAAGGTGCAGTTTTGACTGAGATGAGAATTTCCTTTTGTTCTTTTGTCCCTGTTCCTTTGAGACAGTGAAGAACATGGCTGATTGATGTTCTATGACCTTCAGTGGTATGGTGCCAGAGAAGTTAAGTTTCAAACTTGTAGAGCTTTGAAAAACAAGCCAAATCACATGCAGTGTGTCAGACACCTTCAGCTTTAGTAACCCTGCAGTATGCCATGAACAGGGGAAAAATGCTTCTTTTTGCCTCACAGCAAAGGAATTTTGAACCGAAGTTCATTTCTTTATGTTACAGGCAAAAAGCCAGCAACATTTATAAATTATAAAAATTTACTTTTGCTGACTATGAGCCAACAGTCTTCTTTGAGAGGGCCTGTTTTTATCAAAGAGCCCAGAAGTCTAGAGAAACTGTTGAGCCGTTCATAAGAGACCTTTATTTTTTTCCAAGGAGCTCCTCATGGAGACACAGTATACAGCGATGTGCACCTGATTGGAAGACTTAACTCTTTGCAAGACTATAGAGGCATCAAGAAAATCAGGGGCAACCAAAACTTAGGCCAGGGAGAGGATGTAAAATGATCCACAACTTCGGAGATATTTTCTTGGCAAGAACAGCCCAGTGTAAGAAACATAGCTTAGTTGATTAGAGTCTGGTGCTGATAACACCAAGTTTGCAGGTCTGATCCTCAAAAGGGACAGCTGCATATTCTTGCATTACAGGGGAATAGATGATCCTCCAGGTCCCTTCCAACTCTACAATTCTATGATTTTAAGAAAAATAAGACCCTTTGTTATGGTGCAAGAAGTGATAACAGAAATGGAAAACCTATTTTTATTTAGCTCCATTAGCTCCCTCAAAGTAACCTGGGTTGTATTGGACACTCTTTTGCACAAGATAAACAAACAGGAGAAGTTTGAGTTCAATGATAAGAGGTCAGAATCTTAAAATGTGAGTAAGAATAAGAGAATATGTCAGTGTCGGTTTCTCTCACTTTCTCATTTTTTCCTAATCTTAAACATAGTTCTCCATATGCCCTCATCAGTTTGCATTTTAAAAGAAGTCCCCATGAAAGTTTACCAGCATCTCAGTTCAAAGGTCTCCTAATAAAACATGCCTGTACAGGCAATGGGGTGTGTGGGATGTTAGAGGAGGAGTTTGTTCACCTTTGGTCCCCACTCTGCACTCAGCTCTCACCTGTGGCTCCTAGAAGCTGTCAGCATATGACAGCGGCCACACCCCAGGAAATGGCTTCAACTGGCCTGCTAAACCATGTTAGGGCAGCTGATGAGTCTTAAATCCTTGGTGAGTTAAGGACTTCCTCTGCATGCGAAGACAGGCTTTGGTGGATTGAGTGGACAAAACCAATAGTGGGTGCAACGGTCAAGAAGGTGGTTTCTACACAAGCTGTAGAGGAAAGTGAGAGGCAGATGGGACTTGTCAACCTGGGAAGGTAGCCCTTCTAGGAGAAGCAAAGCTCTGACCCTAAATCTCCGCTGCCTTGTGGGACATCTTTGGGAGAAGAAAAGACTAAGGAGTAAACCCTACATCAATCCAGAGTGTAGTCCCTAAGATGGTTTGATGGTGCCTTGTATGCCTCCTTCCAGCAACTCCTGCCACTAAGCTTGTGCCAAACGTATTTTTCTACTTTCCTTTGGACCACATCAGCAAGGCCAAGAGGGGAGTTGTTGTCTGGGCAGCCCAGCACCTCCATACTCACTGCCCAGGCTTATGCCCTGGGGAGTTCACTTTGGTGCTGCTAATACAACAGTTTGACTTCATCCCTGGAGGTGCACTCCACTGTCTTTTGAGACTGCTGGATGCCAACAAATTGTACAGACAATTAAAGAATTAAAAGCAACCAAAGCACCAGACCCAGACGGATTAATAACTGAACACTCTAAGAGCTATGTAGAAGGAATAGGAGAACCATTAACTAATGATCTAGATGGGTGGGTGTTATACCACAGGAGTGGACAATTCATGCAAAAAGGGTGTGAGACATTTTCTCATTCTTCCCCAAAGCTTGAGGATGCCAAGTACCTTCAGAACCCCAGCATACCTCTTCTTTGTCTTTGTCTCCAACCCTTGTCCTCACTCGTTTGCTTGCTTTCCTTCTGCTGATCTCTCTCTCTTGCTTTCCTGTGCCTTTGTTTTCCATTTTGGCTTCTTTTGTTTCCTGCTCGGGACCCCACTGCCTATGCAAGCTTCTGTTGCTTTATTTCTCTGCCAATCAGTCACCAATGCTCCATTGGCATTCTTAGTCCACCCACTTCCAGAATACTCATCTGCACATCTAGATGCCCCATTTGCCCACCAGAGCTCCGAGGAAGCCACAGTACCTCCCTCTCTTCACAAAGGGGGGAAATAAAAACAATGTTGGGTTCAAACACCCTTAACACTTTCACATTTTTACTATAAAACACTAATGTCAGTATTAACAAGATGATTAAAGTGTTAAAAATATATTCAAAAAGACAAAAAAAGCCTTTTTAAAAGGCAAATAAATATGAACAGTTATTTATCTTTTATGCAATTGAAAATAGATGACAACTGCCTGCATTTTCTTTTAGATACAATGGAAGCTTAAGTCAGATTTAAAAGATTTATCCTATGTAAATGGGTGGATATGATATACACCATGCCAGCACCAATGTTCCTAATAAAAGGGAAATTTCCAAGACAGAAGGAGGAACAGGGCAAAGCTACTCCTGCCCTAGTTCATTGATAGTATTTCTTGAACTATTAGCAACAGTAGTGAGACAAGAAGGAACTATAAGTGGAATAAAGTCTGAAGGTCCTGAATGGAAGTAAATGCTTACAAATATGGATAAATAGCTGAATTTAAAGTGAATTTAGCTAAGAACCAGCCAAAGTTTAATTGGGAGTGGTTGGGGGATTTTCAGGTATGGAAAAGGAATGAAAGGAATTCTGTCATGACAGGACAGAGGTCCATTCAAACAAACAGTGAGGGAAATGCAGGATTGTATCTATGAGAATCATTTCATATTCACACCATCAGTAAGTGATTTAAAAATAGCACCTGTGCACTATAAATAGCTGCTTCTAAAACGTATCAAGTCTCCTCTGTTCTGTATTTACTGACAAAACAAAAACCCTCCTCACACTGTTTTATTTCTCTCATCACTTGTTGGGAGCAATTACTGTAAAAAGGCAAAGCCAGGTTCTGTTCTTCCTTATAGAAATGGTAGGAGCATTACCAGGAGACAATACTTGTTTCCAGACTATATACAGTATTACAGTAGGTAAATAAGAAGTACAAAACAAGCATTTGTCTTTTTGGGGGAGGAAGGTAATGATATCTCAGAAATAATTACGGCAACACTAAGAAGGTGAACAAACAGGGAATGCAAAAATATTGAAATTGAGGAATAAAAGAGCAGCCAGCCTAGCGTCTTTCCCCTCACTCTCTTGTTTCCTTTAAGACTGGGATTGATTCTCTCCAGCCAAAGCAAGCCTTTTAGATGTTAGCAATATATGAAGAGGGGAAGCAGGACATCCCGACCTCAGGGCCATAGACCCTGCCACCCATTTAACTGAAGATGTCTGCAAAGAGGAAGCCTCCTTACATAGAGATGTGTGCACATAGGCTTCCATGTGGTCAGGAAACCAGATTGCGCAAGGTTTGGAGTAGATTTGGTATCATCTGCATGTGGATAGCACCCAGCTGTATTTCTCATTTTCATCAGATTCAGGCAGTACATTGGAAGAGCTTAATCAATAGCTGAGTCACTGGAGGGCAGCAAATAAAGTGTAGGTCAGATAAGATGGAGATGTTGTTGGCAGGTAGGTAATCTATCCAGTTCAGTTGTGTTCTGGATGGGTTTGTACTACCCAAAAGGATAAGTCCTCGTATGATTATACCTTGATATCTTGTACCTTGAGCTACAGATAACACCTATCCAATATAACTGTATTCGCTTTCCTTCCCACAGGTACCACCCATTCTTTTGGATAAACAATTCTCAGAGTTTACACCAGACATCACACCCATTATCCTGGCTGCCCATACAAACAATTATGAGATCGTAAAACTTTTAGTACAGAAAGGTGTTTCTGTTCCCAGACCGCATGAAGTCCGCTGTAACTGTGTGGAATGTGTCTCTAGCTCAGATGTGGACAGCCTTCGCCATTCCCGATCCAGGCTCAATATCTACAGAGCTCTTTCAAGTCCGTCTTTGATTTCCCTGTCAAGCGAGGATCCTTTTCTTACAGCTTTCCAATTAAGTTGGGAACTTCAGGAACTGAGCAAAGTGGAGAATGAGTTTAAATCTGAATATGAAGAACTATCACAGCAATGCAAGCAATTTGCAAAAGACCTCTTGGATCAGACACGGAGTTCCAGGGAACTTGAAATTATTCTTAACTACAGAGATGATAACAGTCTAATAGAAGAGCAGAATGGTAATGAACTTGCAAGACTCAAACTGGCAATTAAGTACCGTCAAAAAGAGGTAAGTGTATAGAAGAATATTTTTCTGATTTAATTGAAATAATGTATGAGATAGATGATATACCCATCAAATGAGACAAATTGCTGTCAAGGTCTTTTGTTCACCATATTGTCTCAATTTAAAAAAGGTAATGGGCACATTCGGTTATTAGGCTCTTGTGATACAAGAAACTGAAATATTGCAGCATATAAGAAATCCAGAAGTACTGCTGCTCATGTTTTCTCATGAAAAAAAGATCCTGTTAGTATATCTGCCTGACGTTAAGCTCTGTGGAAAGACAGAAGTATTTTCTGGTTCATTTTACAGCCTAGAATTCCTCCACAAGCAGCAATGTGCATTACTGCAAATAGTTGCTTCCTGTAAATGTGTGGAGGCTTTCATGATGATGTAATAATGATAATCAAATCAGTGAAGGTATAGAAATCAGACAGATGGCACTGTGTTGGGTGAGGAAATGGAGGCTACTGGTAGGAACCTATCTGACCCAGACACTAGTGAGATCCCTTCAGAGGAAGAGTCTTGGCCCCCTACAGACTCTCTTCCAACTGAAGACTTGGAGGTAATCCAAAGGCAGCCTGAAGTACCCCACTTCAGAGATGTCTAACTTAGGCTACCCAAGGACCCCATGCCAAGCTCTGCCACGATCTCTGATTCTCCCCCTCCAGCTCTCATAAGTGAAGATGGCAGCAGAACCAAACAGGAAGCCCAGAGTCGCAGGAAGAGTGCTTTATTGCCAGGATCTACTTGGGTGAGAATCCAGCTTCAAGGAATGACCCAGCAAAGAACCTGTTAGAGGAGGAGCTGGTGGTGACTGTGCAATTCTTTGGGTCTTCTCTGAACCTTCGTTAGGTTAACAGCTCCATTTTGAGCTCATTAATGTTCTTCCAGCTCCCTCTGTCCTGTTCTGGAACTCCCTGGCTCAGCCCTAGAGGTTCCTGGCTCAGCCCCTGCTTCAGCTACCACTCTGACTCCAGCCTTCACATCAGGTGCTGGTCATGAACAACTACTTAGAAGGGTTACGTTCCTCTTGGTTGAGCCACAATAGTCCAGTAATTCAGTGAGAACAAAACGACTTTGAAATACTAATAGTAATGGGTGGCTTCCAACAGAATATTAAAAACAAACTTCCCTAAACAGGGCTGCCTTCAGATGTCTTCTATAAGTCCGATACAGTCGTACCTTGGCTTTCGAACAGCTTAGTTCACGAACAACTTGGAACTCGAATGTTGCAAACCCGGAAATAGGTGTTCCGGTTTGAGAACTCTGTCTTGGAAGCCGAACATCCAGCGCAGCTTCCACTGCTTCCGATTGGCTGCAGGACACTCCTGCAGCCAATTGGAAACAGTGCCTTGGTTTCTGAACATTTCAGAAGTCGAACAGACTTCCAGAACGCATTCTGTTCAAAAACCAAGATATGACTGTAGTTGCAAGTATGCCTTAGAAAATTCTATGCACATTTAGTAGGAATAAGTGCCACTGAGGTAAATTGAACCTATTTTTGAATAAATAGGCTGCACCAAACAATTTACTTACTGAAGCTGAAAAGCATAAAGAAGAAATATAAAAAATATTATTAGGAATGCAGTAATGCAGTTCTCAAGGGGAGCAATACCTCCTTTATCACCTCTTAGACTCATTCAGAAAGTTCTGATTTTTCTGCTTCAACCACTGAGTGAGTGAGACTAACTCCAGCCAATTAGTCTATAAAGGGATTTGGATCACCATGATGCTTGAGATGATAGCCTGTTTTATTTGATTCAAAGTTTTTTTTTTATCATAACTGATGAATTTCCACATGTTGATATTTTAATCACACCCTTTAGCATTGATTTTAATTATTTTTGAATGCTTTTAATAGTTGTTTTTAACTGATAATAGGAGTTTTTTTGTAAACCACCTCGAGGTCTCTTTGTTTTTTACAATCAAGTGGTATATAATTTTTAATAACTAAGTAAAAATAATTCTTTATAACTGGAAAGTCGTGTGAAGATAGGTGCAGGAAGATACTGTTTGCAAATCATGGAGCTTCAGCATTACAATGTAAACACAGGGTTATGGTATCCTGTTTGCCTCATAGCACATGGTTCTACTCAGATAATTTATTGTGTAACATGAGAATATTTTTAATATTATATTTTAAGATTTTCAGACATTGCAAATAGCTAACATAAATGCAAATATTTTTAAAGCAGAGTTCATTTAAAGAAACAGTCCTAAGATGATATTTAGTTATGCGTGTGCATTGCTTATTTGGTTGTGCCACCTTAACATTTTATGCTTTATAACAAAAGTATAACCAAGTTAGAAAGCCATCATAACAAATGTGATATTGCAGAGGTTTACTTTGGTCTTTCATACTTTCTCGAAGCTGAGCAATTTCCTCAAGCTCCATTTTAACAGATGGCATCCTTTGCCTTTTAATTAGCTGTTACCTGAAATCAGACTGTAGGGAGGAGGAAACTAATTATGGCTAAGATTCCAAGAACCACATGACTACCAATTCTGCAGCCCCAAGTGGGCTTTTAGAATTGTACTTTTCTAATGCCGCTCCATCATCCCAAGCAATAAAATTCCTTTAAAACTGAGGCATATTCTCACAGCAGTCTGTGATTAACCCGTAGTGGGAAGAGTCTCTGCTGTTCAAAAGTATGTGTGGAGGGAGTGTAAAAAGCTCCCAATGAGAAACACACAAGCCAGGAGGGGTGACTGTCTAAGTGAATCTCAGCCTGCATCTCTGTTTGGATTAACCTGCCTGTTTCTGTCCAAACAGCTCATCTGTTGCAACAATTTGTAGATCAATTATGAATATGTAGCCATTTTCTGCTTGCACAGAATCCCATCACATGAGAATTCTAGAAGAACCCTAGATTATTTTTTGTGGAGTCCATTCCATCTGCCTTTAATGTAACGTATGAAGAATTTAATTCATAAAGCTTGATTTATGCAATGAAACACTGCTATCCAATTCATTCAGCCATATATATATATATATATATATATATATATATATATATATATAATGATTTCCTCTCTTTTGTAAGGGCACTTCCAGAATATCTGTTTATTGAACATACATCCTGATTTGTTTGCAGGGAGAATAGATGATATTGGCCATTTAATGAGTATTCATTCCAGTTGGCTTGCAGGGAGGTTTGATGATGTTGCGTTAAAGCAAGTGCCATCCCATTGCTTCCCAGTGCAACTTTGCACTATTTTTCTTTTCGCGAGAAGTCTGAATTTGGGGGGAAGCAGACTTGTTGCATGCAACCTCCCAAACAGCTTGAGTTGCACAACCTGAATTTGCCGCTCTGAGCAACTCCAGACAGATGTCTTATACCAGGTTTATGCACCAATAAGCATTATACACTTTCAATGTGGATTTATAATGTATTTGTCTGATCCTCCTCCTGCTACATTAATGTTTTCCAATACTCCTGCATTATTGACTCTGCACTGGCATCCTCCAGCAATTCCAAGGCCATTTTTTGCGCCCTCACCATCCACCCTATTGACCCTCCCCCTCTTCAAAAGTAGAAGTTAGTTATGCTGTATGATACCATGCTGCCATATCACTGTGCTTTTTCCAAGCACCAGCAGTAGCACAGCTGTTCTTTTCTCTCAGTCTGCAGCAAGAAGTCTGATCTCTTCTTCCCTCCCTGTGCCCTGTAGCTGGGCAAAGATCTGACATCTGGAAGGAAGGGAGCTGGGAAAGAAGGAGGAAAATACATAAATCGTCAGTTGCCTCTGTGTTGCAGTGGCACACAATCACCTCTCTAGTCTCTCTCTTGCTCTGCACACACACAGCCACCACATTGTTCTGCGTTTAAGCATACACCCATCTCTGAGCAAAACAAAACCTTAAGAGGCTGAGCCAGTCACAAAGCTTCCCTTTGACCCCCCCCCCCCCCGACACAAGTGGAGCCACCATAGCTGCCAGCAAGCAGCAAAAAAGAGCAGGTGGGCAGCAATTTTATCTCTCCCCCATCCCCCTTTTAAGTACAAGTTATTTGCAGAATGGCAGCATGCCAGCACCATACTTCCACTTTTACAGTTTAATATTCAGGCTGTGATTACTGTGCTAAACCTTCACTTGGTTCCACAAAAACAGCATCAACAGGAAGCATGTAGGAGTAGCTATTTCACAAAGAAGCAACTTCAATTCGGCAACTTGCCATAGTACCATAGCACATCAGTAGTTAAAAAAGAAAAAAGGGAACATTTCTGGTATGAAAAGTTTAATGATATGTGCCAAAAGTTATGGATCATGCACAGATTGCTACTTATGCCATGTGACCATCTCATCAGTTTTAAAAGTACAAATCAACTTTAATGTGGGAGCACTTGTGACTAATGCAACACCATTAAGAGGACAAATCCTCAGTAACAATGACATCAGTAAAAACAGCACGTATCCTCAGGGGCTAAGGTCCCAATCCCAGGAGGCATAAGCCTTTCACCAAATTAGTCAACAGAATAGTCAGGGTTGGTGGTGCAGCACAGTCCAAACAAACCAAGGTCAAGCACAGGGAATTGGTCTAGGAAACAGTCCAAGATCAGTATCATAAGTTCATTAAGCCGTGGGAACTAGACTTAGAAACAAGGTTGTGTTGTTTCCAGCAAATGAAAGACTTGGGAAGGAGACATTATGTACTCTGGCCCCCTGGACCACAGCCTGACCACAGTTGATGTTAGTTGCATACTCATGTGTATACCCCTTACTCATCAGTAGACCACTGACTTTGGGTCCATAGATGCATACTGTAATGTTCTCTTTAGCCTTGACCCAAATATTTTAGCACCAGTGTTCTTGAGAACTGGTGGGTGGTGCTACCTCCTCCTCTGATAGCTCCAGGGGTTCTCCAGCAGGTCCCAACCTGGAGGACCCCTCAAGAAGATACTCGGCATTGGTTTCACAGGACCCTGCTAGCTCCTCAAAGTTCTTGACCTGTGGGGTGTCTGGTTGATCCTTCAAGGACCTCATGTCTGGTACCAGGTCAGGGCTAGATATAACAGTATGTGATGGAATCCCACCAGCAAATAGCTAATCTGGAAGTGCCAAAAGTCTATGAGTCTGTCCCAGGGTATGGTGGAACAGGGTTGACCTCTTCCTGCCAATTATTTCACATTTTTGGCTTTTTGCTGTATGCCTTTCTATTTCCAACCCCATTGTTTTTGTGGGCTACTAGCAAGATGTAATAACTTGACCTAGGATTTGCTTTCCTTGTCTCCAATGTGTTGTCTGCACAAAGAGAATTATGATTTTAACAACACCTACTGGAAGAAAAATCAATATACCGGTAGATAAAAAGCAGCAGCAAATGAGTCAGAGCCAACAGTTTCACCATATGTGGCAATTAGGAAGGAGTTAAAAGTTGGCAAGTTAGGGAAAAATTTGTAAGGATGGTTCATATTCCAATAAATATAGAAAAGTGTCTTCAATGAATTTTCAAAGTGACTGTTGACATGGAAACAGCATATTGCTAATAAAAATCCAGAAATTTTATATTGCATTTACAGCAAAGGATTAAGTTTTCATCCTAGAGTGCAACTGATGTGGATTATCCAGCACCCCCATAAATGCAAAGGTCTCCCATTTAAGGAGCAGAATCAAGGTGCAAATTGAGGAAAAGCTGTCATTGAGAGCAACAGTTAAGAAACAGTTCCTGGGGAGAAGACTGAGCTGAACTCTTTTTTAGTGGTTGCCAAGTTTGTAACAACTGGTTTGGAAGGCATTTTAATCCAGTTCTTACGTGGTAGTGGGCTGGAATTTTATTTTATTTCATTTATTAAATTTGTATACTGCCCTTCATCCATGGCTCTCAGGGCGAACATAAAAATATGAGATTAAAAACAAAACAAAATACATAACAAAAACAAAGACAATCCATTAATGCCCTCCCCCCACTTGCATAGTGATGGGAAATTGTGGAGGAGGGCTCTGCAGAACTTGGATTCCAAAATGGACTCACCCGATCTGACTAAAGTGTATCCAGATTGGATCACAAGTCCACTTTAGAAGAGCGGTGGAACATCAAGCCCTGTTGATCCCAGGGCAATGTTCTGTTCTGTTGAATGAGCACAGCAGCAATAAGATTGACCGTGCTAGCTACTCCAGGCCCTGAGCAACTGGGAGACTTCTTCTGGGAGCCCTGATAAGAAGGATCAGTTGCAGTATGCATACATGTTCACCTATATGGTCTTAACCGTCCAGGGGTCCTTTATCTTACCTTTTACTTTATATTGTGCACAAATTACTTTTTGTTGTATCATTTCATAGCTATACAAGTTACAAATTTCAAAAAAGAGGAACTTCTTCATTAATAGTTGCTTCAAGCATTCATTCTTTTATCCATTACAACTGTCTTATTATACTTAAACTATGCAAAACAGTTCATACTGTACTTTCATATTTGAATACATAAGTAAATAAACTCAAATTTTCCTCAATGTAATATATCAATATTGCTTTTGTTGTTTTGTTTGCCATCTTTTTCCAGGATTGTGGTCAACTTTTTCATTATTAGTTTATTTGATTGCTGAACTTTTTGTTATTTCATGCAATTTTATTGTTCATGGCTTAGAAAGAAAAAATAGTGAGAGATATAAAATGCATAAAATAAGCACAAACGCTGCCTGCCTACCCCTCTCTATTTTTAACTTTTTTTTTTCCTTTTTAGAAGGCTGGCTGCATTGTGGTCTTGGAAATGCCTTGCCCATGCCAAGCTGGTTCTCAATTTTTGAGGGAGCTCTTTGCAGCTTGCAGACTTTACCCAAAGGAACTGGGAAAACACATAGCCAAAGGTGCATAAGAAATAGCCACTTGCCATCCACATCTTTCTAGAGCAGGCATGCATCTGTGCAACTTGAGCAGAGTCTAAATGGCCATCCCACTGCTAACAGCGGTGAAATTAATGCTGACTTGCCGGAAATGTGGATCAATGTTCTTTTTATTCAACAAAAGCCTAAAGAGAAAATAATGCTGTGTAGGAGATATAATATTTAATTACCAGAGAAATGGATTCAGCAAAGCAGGAGATACTTGTAAATAGCTAACCTCAAGGACTGCATTAGCACATTCTTTATCATTTGCCAGAAGCCTATGCATGGCTGAGTTACTCAGAATTTGACACTAAGCCAAGCTAAAAATGTGATTAGAGGTGGAAGTTATTTAACAAAATATTAATACAATGGTACCTCAGGTTAAGAACTTAATTCGTTCTGGAGATCTGTTCTTAACCTGCAACTGTTCTTAATCTGAGGTACCACTTTAGCTAATGGGCCTCCTGCTGCCGCTGCTCCGCCGCTGCGAGATTTCTGTTCTCATCCTGAAGCAAAGTTCTTAACCCGAGGTACTATTTCTGGGTTAGCGAAGTCTGTAACCTGAAGCGTCTGTAACCTGAAGCGTCTGTAACCCGAGGTACCACTGTAGGTGCTTCTGCTCTGCTTGCCACCCTCACCTACTCCTTTACCCTCCCCCCACCCCTTCCTCCACCCTCCAGTCAGTGGCGGAGCTTCATGCTCCGGCACCGGGGGGCAGAGAACAGGCGGGGGCAGGGCTGGTGTGCATCCTGGGGGTGTGGCACCCAGTGCAGGTGGGGGGGCAGCCACGATGGCACCCCACTGGGATTGCGCTGCCGGGGGCGGTGCGCTCCCCCGCACTCCTTCCTCCGCCAGTGCCTCCAGCCACCCCCTGTCCCCCCAGAGTTTGCTCCAAGCCCTTCCTTTTCCCTCTTGAGTCACACCCCTCCCACCCTGCCCCCCATCAAAGAATGGGGAGGTGCTTCACAAAGCGGCTTGCTAAACTGCTGTGTGAAATGCCTTCCCTTCCATTAAACCCTCCTGTAGCCACATTTAATGGAGGGGGTAGGGCTTCACAGTACCTCCCCTCCATTAAACAGCTCATCTGGGCCAGCCAACTGTACCTATAATAAATTATAATAATAATAATTTTTTATTTATACCCTGCCCTTCCCGGTTCAAAAACCGGGCTCGGGGCAGCTAACAACAAATTTAAACACTTAATTGTAAAAGCAGCATAAAATACAGTATAAAAACATTAATAACAATAAAATTCAAAGTTCAGAAATCAATTTATGGGAAATCCATCTGATAAGCATTAGATAATCACCAGGGCTAATGCCGCAGTTGGTGTGACTCCCTACTGAATGCGAGAACTGCGGAGCATGATGACAAGTTGGGGTTTTTAAAAAATATTACATAAGGGTTGTGTGTTAATTTGTTCTAACCAGGGTCCTAGTTTTGCTGGAACATCAGAAGTAGAATCTTTAAGTATGTATTTCATTATATACAAGCAGAAAACACTGAGGCAAGTTAACTGGTCAGCCTCATTCACCTTCCTTTCAGTACTTGATTCAGTACGTAAATTAATTTCAGCATGAAATGGTTTAAGAATGAATTGTGATTCTTAAACCAGGCCTTTCAGATAGACGTCCCCAGCTTATTTTTTAATTGGTTGTTTATATTTATAAACTACAGTTCTGGACCATGTACAAAAGGGTACACACACACACACACACACACACACACACACATTCTCTACTCATTCGCATTAATGACACAGATAGTGCAGATCTAATTAGGACAGAGTTGGGTGTGGGCATGACTCATGAGGCAAAGCAGAACTAGCAATGTGACTGGAAATTAAATGAGACCCGAAGTAAAGAGATTCCCTGATTGGAAACTAGAGCTATTAATTACAGACCTACACTCACATCCTCTGCTTTTCCCCTCCTGACTGCCTGATGGTTTCCATTTATGGAGACTTTTGGGGAGATCACAAAAATATATCAAACTAGACAACAACAAGCAGTTCTGAAGCTTTGGCCTGTTTCTTGGATTTCCTTGGATTACAGCCACCCTGCATTCTGAGGTATTCGGAATATCTCCAGGGCAAGTATTCTCATCATAGCCACATTATCTGAGGCGAATGCATAGACTTAAACATCTGCCCGTTCTGTACAGAGCTCCAGTTTGTTTGCCCCTACCCAGTCATTTCTGACCACAAGCTCTAATTTTATACAGCTCTAATCTCATCAGTCTCCCTGGAATACCATGGAAATGAGAGCTAGAATTATCAGTATCTTGGTGACATCAAACTCAAAATCAGAGTACAATATTCCCCAGCATCTCCATATACTATTTATTTAATCTAAAGGCCTTATGTTTTACTTTTCTGCCTCAATGTCAGGTACTCCGGATCATTTACAACAGGATGACACCACAATTGTCAATATTCAGTAAAAGAACTGAAACATTCAAAAATACAAGAAAAAAATAATTAGTCATAGATATGCATGAGATCCTAATAAATAAAGTAATGTTTGAAGCTTTGGGAATTTGATCTAATATGGAGCTTAAAGATTAGTCTTCTCTACTTTATAAGATACTATTGAACCTACAAATGGGCAATGGGCAGAATCTTGAAAGAGTTGTGGAAAGGAGATTTAGGCCAACAAATTGATGAACACAAGTGGGGTTCTATATGATCTAAACCAACACTGCATACCATTTTGGCTAAACTGTAGGAAGTCATTATAAGATGCCCCTGGATGCCCCTATGCTTTTAAAGAAGTTAGCTACTGCATTTTTCCGTGTATAAGACTCTGTTGTTTTTTTCTAAAAAATAATGTCAAAAATTAGGGGGCATCTTATACACGGATAATGTCTCCCCCCCATTTTCTTAAATCTGAGTCCCCCAAAATAGGGGGTGTTTTATACATGGGGGTGTCTTATAGACAGAAAAATATGGTAATCTCTCACCCTTATGCTGGAGAGGATATAAGCTTAAAGGCACATTCCTCCACATGTGGGGGGGAGTGTCTCTTAAAGATTTCTGCACCCATTTTTTTTCATAATCCACTGTTATAGGGCAACATCTTGTACCCGATCCCATGTTAGCCCTGCTGTCAATGGGAAATGATACCAACCCAAATTTTAAACATAAAGAGGCAAATATTTGCTTCCAATTATAATAAACACCCCCTCCCACCACAGAAACATGGACCCAATTTGTGTGTAATATAGCACATATGGAACACTTGACTCACCTTTGGAGAGTGATAAGAGGTTGGTTTTCAATGTATTATTGTTTATTAACAGTACAGTAACCTCCCTTTGGTCTCAGTCGCAACAGCCAGTAGATAAATTATCTTAATGCTTTAGATAGAAGTATACTCTAATTTACAAGATTTTACAAATTTGTTTCGATGTCACGTGGATGACTGCATACAAGACTTAATATCTGTACATGTATCTGTCTTGGAAGACAACACTTTGTGTTTGGTAATTTATTTTTAAATGTTTCAGTAAAGTTTGTAAGTTAAAAAAACCACAATGTCCGTAAATAAAAAGGACATCAAGAAGAGAGGGAATTGGATCTCCTTGCTTTATGGCATTCTGAGCCTAAGTACAGTAAGAGAGGAGGTGCTATCACATGTTCCCACAAATCAAGCCTTGGTTATCAGCAAGATAGTCAGAAGGCCTCCCCAGATGATCTCCAAAATCAGCCAGGTTCATACTGTAGAGCAGGAGTGGCTAAACATTTTTTAGTCTGAGGGTCATATTGATGGTCAGCCCACCTCCTTAAGGGCCACATGCCAGCACTGGGAATGGCTAATTTTGTATGTGTGTGAACTGTCTCTCCCACCCACACCCACATATATGCATATTCCCCGCACAATGCACACAGTCACCAGGCATGAAGGCACACTCTGCCTCTCTCACAAACATGCATTCTCACAAATAAACACAGGTAAAGACAAGACACACACAACCAGGGTTTCCAGCCCCCCACACTCCAGGGCAGTGAAAACAGTACTTTGTATAAATCATTATTTTTTACTTCTTTTAAAATAGATCTGTTTATTTGCAAATACAAAAAGAAAAAAGGTAGCCGAGATAACAGCCTTTTCAGCTGACATCATATTTATTTTAAAAAACAATTTATTATTTTTACTCCGCCCATCTGGCTGGGTTTCCCCAGCCACAATAATAATATTCCATCAATTCTTATTTAAATATACAGATTAATATAAGCAATCCATATGCCCAAATAGATATTTAAACCATGTGTTCAGATAAGCACCATCACGTCTGCTACTGTCCTGCATCACTTTGGAGTCTCAGTTTCTTTTATTCCAACAGCATGAAAAGAAAATAAACCCCTCAAGCATAAGGTAGGGGTTTCATATTTGCCCAAAAAATCTAGTTTATTTACTTATTTTATTTCTGACATTTATATAGTTACCCAATAACAATAGTATAGATGATAATTCCATGCTGATAAAATTCTTAGGGGTAAGGTAATTGCATTCTGGGACCTACTCCATGCTTTCTATAGATTTTATATTCTAGCACATTGAAGCATGTATTATAAATTGGTAGGATTTAAATAACTACCAACTGACATGTTTAATTAGAAGAGATAATTGAGTTTCTAAAAATACATTAGTATCCAGTAGATTAAATTAAATTCAACCATCCATCATGTTTTAATAGTCTGAAAAGTGCCTTAAGTATTACGCTAATGGTTTCCTTCTGTTGGCCATGCTTTGACTGTGTGCAATGACTAGAGCTGCCATTTATTTATTTATTTATTTATTTATTACAGTTATTTGGCACTTCTTCACTAGAGTGTCTCAAAGTGACTTAAAAAGTAAGAATAAAAATAACATGCTACTGCTACTGATCCAACCCACCACACTAAAGCGATTAGCACAAAAAGGTGCCACAGACATACCAAATTATCCTTCAGGGCCAAAGGCCTGGGAGAATAAAAATGGTTTTGCCTGGCAGCTAAAAATGCAATGGTGTTGCCAGCTGTGCCTCTTTGGGGAGAGCATTCCACAGTGGGGAGCCACTACTGAAAAAGGCCTGTTATCACGTCATTTCTCTCCCCACCTCCCTTCAGAGGGGCACCCAGAGAAGGGCCTCAGATGATGAATGCAGGGTTCATGTGGAGAGAGGCAGAATGGATGGAATAGTGGAGATGCAATGAAAGCAGAAAAATATGCTTTCTCCACTGCTTTCAATGCTACCAAATCAACATGAAAATGAGCACTTTACTAGCGTTTGGTTCCATTTGTCTGGAGTTTCCTTCCACTTGCATTCAAGCCTTCTCTGGGCTTGCTTCATTGCCCTAAACCATGGGTAGGCAAACTAAGGCCGGATCCAGCCCAATCACCTTCTAAATCTGGCCCGTGGACGGTCCGGGAATCAGCATGTTTTTACAGTGTCCTTTTATTTAAAATGCATCTCTTGGTTATTTGTGGGGCATAGGAATTCGTTCACCCCCCCCAAAAAAAAATATATAGTCCGCCCCCCGCCCACAAGGTCTGAGGGACAGCAGACCGGCCCCCTGCTGAAAAAAGTTTGCTGACCCCTGCCCTAAACTCTGGGAGATATTCTCTGCCTGAAATCCTGGAATGTTGCTGCCCGTGTAGAAAATGAAGTACTGAGAAAAATGGACCAGTGGTTTGACTCACTATAAGGCAGTTGCCCATGTTCCTATGATTCCTATGTTCCTATGATTATCTTCTGAAGAGAAACTAGAGATGTTTGGATTTAATTTTTACAAATTCCGGTATGAGCTGGCCTGATTCGCCCCTTCCAAACTAATATGCAAATCAAATTTTTTAACTATTGCAACATAATTCTTGACTTAGAAGGCATCACAATCCTTATTTTTTGATATAAAGAAAAGACATTTTAAAATATGTATTTAAATTCAAATTTTCATACTTTTCTCTTTTTTTAGTTAATTGATGTAAAAGTGACACAGACTGGAAATAGATCGTCCTGTATATCCTCAAGAGAAGCACTTTAAGATAGTCACAATATTAGAGTTTCCTCTTGCTTTCTCAGCATCAGCACTCCTGAACATCAGAAATGGTTGTCCATCTAGTCTAATGTTCTATTTTCAGCTGTGGCTAGTCATAACCTTCACGATTCCTGTTGTGTTCACATTATATCCTAATTGTGGATATGCCTGTTCCATCTCTATGAAGTGGGGGCAGGGATTAGGCAGGACAAAAGTCACTAACTATGGTTTCTCTGCTGCTTCTTTATCAGTGGCTGCTATTGTATGTTGCAGAGGAAATTGCAGATATTTGTGCACTAAGTGCATATTCCATTTAGAGTTGTTGCTGCTGTGTCTTTACTAGCAGCTAAAAATGACAAAGATGAAACATTTGCTGGTTTGACGTAAAGGGGAAATTCCACCTGCCTAATTTCTGTGCATTGGATGCAGTGTCAGGGTTGATAAAACAGTGGCAAACCTAATACCATTACAGAACATTTGTTCTTAAAAGGTGCATGTATGCAGTTCTGGGCTAAACCTAAATCTGCACGAATTAAGCCACTTTGGATTCAGTTCCAGGGCCCTATTGATGGACGCACACAGCAGGTTCAGAACATTTGGTGTTCTAAGATGAATTGCATAGCAACTGGGACTTTTGTGTTCTTTTAATTTTTATTTGAATTTGAAAGTTGATCTAATGATGGCTGAGTAGTGTTGCTAAGTCCAGTCCTTGAGAGGGATCCAGTAAAAATTGCACTGAAGAGAACATTTCCTCTAGGTGGGTTTTTCCATGGCTGTACCACTGAGATAAGAAGAAGAAGAAAATGCATTAATGTGACTGAAGGCAATATTTGGTCATAAAGGGAGTCCATTTCAGATTGTCATATAGATAATTTTCATTAGGCAGGCAGGCAAAACAGCTCGGTACCTGCTGAAATTCCTTCGCCATGGTACAATGTACAGGTAATGATGTAGTAGGTGGGAGAGATTTGACTGTTCTTTTTCTTTTGCTTTAGTTTGTTGCCCAGCCAAACTGCCAACAACTGCTTGCCTCTCGCTGGTATGATGAGTTCCCTGGCTGGAGGAGGCGCCACTGGGCCGTGAAGATGTTGACTTGCGTCATCATTGGATTTCTTTTCCCCGTCTTCTCTATCTGCTACCTGATAGCTCCCAAGAGCCCACTGGGTCTGTTCATCAGGAAGCCATTCATCAAATTTATCTGCCATACTGCATCCTACTTGACTTTCTTGTTCCTTCTGCTGCTTGCCTCTCAGCACATTGACAGGTCAGATCTGAACATGCAGGGACCTCCACCAACCATCGTCGAATGGATGATATTACCGTGGGTCCTGGGTAAATGTATTAGTAAAGAAAATTCAGTTGACTTGCATAACTCTTCCATAATTGTCTAGCATTGCCTAGCATATACAGCAGGGCATTGTAGTTTATTCTCTGATTCTATTATAAACTAGTTCAGTAATCTATCCGCAACCCATCTAGGTCAATAACAGAAAATTCCATTTACGATTAAGGAATTTTTAAGGAAAGGAATTTCAACTTTAATTTCATTTCAGAATTAAAATTACTTTCAAATTAATATGTTGAATGGTGGGCAGTCAGATCCAGATGCTTTTCTCCACTTGGACAAATAGGCTAAACTAGCATTTTTGCTCTAGATTTTAAAAATGGGAAATGATGTAGCTTTAAAAAAAAACAACATATGGGGAGAGGGGGAATCAGAAACAAAGTTCCACCATTCCACTAGGGAAAACACAAAATAGATCATTATGCTTCATTGCCAGCAGTAAATTGCATAACAAAAGTCTGGGCTTTTTCCACCATTTTAATGGAAGTTCTTCAGTCTTAATAGAAAACAATCCATCCATATAAATAAGAATCTTCACCCATAACTCATATCTTTCCACTGAAGAGCCAATAACTGACTGATTTGTGGCAAAGTCTGATTTTTTGACATTGCATTTTGGGCCGGTTTCTTGAGACTGTTACTGCATGTGCTCTAATTTATTAGGGGCAGTCCCTGTTTTCAGGCAGCTTTCTGGGACACCTAATTGTCCCTGTTTTGATACATATCTATGTTCCCTCTGTTTTTTTCTTAGTCAGTTGCATTTTGTGCCTAGTGCACATACATATCAGGGTACATGCAATGAACACTAAGGCTGCAATCCTAACACCTGATGTTGATCAGTAGAAAGGTAGACTATAGTACATATAGTACAAACCCCTCTTCTGGCTTTTGATGATGGATAGGAGTGCCACCGATGTGGGGCAGGGCCCCTATCTCAGTAAGCTACCAGCAGAAGCAAGTGGAGAGCCCCAAAACAGGGCATTTCAAGGCAAGGCACTAGAGATTCCCCCAAGGGGGTGATTCTCAGCCCCCTCAGCTACATTACTCCTAGAACTGACACTGCAAAGTATGTGAAGCCATCAAATATTCCATCGTAGCTTCCCACAATCATGCGTTTATTAACAAACAAACACCCATAAATGAACACCAATCAACTGAACTTAGTATTCTCTTAACAGAACAAGCTGTCGTGCTTGCTGTTAGGATTATAGTCATCTGAAAGCAACGGACATACATCAGCATGGTGTATGTGTGCAAATTGGGCTGTGCAATAGGAGAAGAGGAGATGGCATGGAAATGGGGGTGATTTAAGAAGAATGAGGAAGGTAGAGGGGGAAAGCGAGTAGAGGTGAAAATGTGGGGTGCAAAGGGGGTTGCACAAAACGAGGGAGTAGAAGGCATGGGAAAGGGGTTAAAGATGAAAGCAGGAACACGAAAGTGTCTGAAATATGTAAGGTGATGGTGACTTCTTGGCTGGTGGAGGATGATAAGGATGTTTAGTAGTTGCAAGGTAGGAGGAAGATGCAAGGGGAGTCACAGACATGGGGGCAAAGGTGGAAAACAGGTCCAGATCAGGGCTGTTGGAGAAGTGGTTGCAGAAATGGAGTTGGTAAGGTGAAAAGTGAGTTTAGCAGTTGCTTGGGGTAGGAAGCAGAAGTTCTAGTGGGTTTATGTGAAGAAACCTGTGACTGGCGTGAGCAGGAATGCAACCTCAAATATATTAATCATTCCTGTCATTATGCTCCTGGGATTCTTGTCAGATCTTGAACAGTTTGACTTTATTCTAAAAGCAGTTTCAAAATGTTTGTTTCCCGTAAAGAGGCTACCATTCTTCTTTGTTCACTAAACATCTTGCGACATTCCCCTAAAATAATTGCTTGTGTCACTGACCTTAGTATTGAGACAATATAGGTTAATGTTTATTGGTTTTGCTAGATTACCGGAGATGAAGGGGAGAGAGAGGATTACCAGTAGAGCAAAAGATAGACTGTCAAACTCTGTGTTTTCGTGCAAGTGCACATTAATAAGGTCTTGGCAAGTTTCTCTTTAGAAATAAAAAACAACAACTAAAATTAGCCCCGGTTGGTTGCAGTTTTCAACAAAGTAGTTACATGGAAGGAAGTGCTGACCTCTCTTTACTCCTGGCCTTTTTCTGATCAGAATCTCCTCCAAGCTGTTTACCATCTCATATGTTCTTTTTCACCCACTGATTTCAATCAACAGAAGAGATTTAAGCATGCGCTTAACTTCCAAGTCCTTTTTCTGAATACATTTGGCATTATTATTTTGGCCCTGGCTGTAATGATTCCAGTTCTTGCTATTCATGACGATCAAAAAGACCATTAGCAATGTTTTGGGAATGTGTGAATGTGATGGAGAAAAAGCTGGAATTTAAGGGCTCCTCCTTGAGAACTCCTAAATGTGCACAAAAATATATAACCAAATCCCATGTTGTGTTCACCCTGTCATCTTGAGTTATGGTATCTCTTTTGGGAAATTATATATGGCAGCAATATGCTGTAACTGGATGCTGAGTTCACATTCTACACTCTTGTGATGGCACAGGAAGTTGCCTATTCTTTAAAAAAATGCAATAGGAGAAAAGTTCTTTGCAGCAGGTCTGTGGCTGTTGTAAAATTCTAAGGGTATAGGATTTGATCCAAGTATTTTACTCTCCTGTGCCACCCACATCTCACCCTTGTCTGCCCTGTTTTGGCCATTTCACCTGTATTTTTGGAGTGGCAGAGGTAGTGTTGCCACCAAATCCTTTAGCCCCTCAGCTAAAGGATGTTCAGTACTGGATTACACCCTAAAAGGTTGTTTACATTCTCTCCCTAGAACTATTATTTCCCAAGGTATATCAGCCACACTAAAATTTATTAGCTGCTTGAAATATTTCCTGATTTGTTCAAGCAAAGCTACCTGTATGCATAACATCTGATAAGTACCATCCTATTAGCTGTTCCCCAGAATGAGTGTCTTAAATCAGTTATGACTGCTATGGAAAACAAAAAGGTGGTGTTCGTTGCTGTGAATAGTAATAAAACAATTATTTCCCAATAATAAATTTCACTTTAGGTGACTGAGTTTTTCATCACATACAGTTCCTCTGAAGTGCCATTTAAACAGCAGGTGACCACTGGTGCTAAATTTCAGGAAGTGTTGTTTAAAGGTCAAAAATCAAAGTTTGAAAAGCAGTTATAAATTTGAACCTGAATTCACATCCTGCCAAGTTCAGAGTAATTCTTCTCCCCACTGCCTTTAGGCTACAGTCAGTGGAACCAAAGTACATGGTGAGCAGAATAGTAACCATTGTTGCTGCAGCTCCTGTTCTCTTCCATGGGACTGCACTGGAAATTTTCCCATTGATTATGCCATATATATATATTGGAAACGTGAATCACAAATGAAAAATAACAATATATGTGACTAATAGATTGTAATGGTTATTACGGTTGTAGTTGAGCATGCTTAAAATGTCATGTGCTTTTATTTCATTTTAAGCAAATAAACACAACAGCTTAAGCAATTCATACAACTAACTTATATCACTGCTTTCTATATTTGCAGGGTTTATCTGGGGTGAAATTAAACAAATGTGGGATGGCGGCCTGCAGGATTATATTCATGACTGGTGGAACCTGATGGATTTTGTAATGAACTCATTGTACCTGGCAACAATATCTTTAAAAATTGTTGCATTTTCAAAGGTAATCAAGACATCTATTCATATTGTGAATATACTATATACTTGACATTTCCTTTGAATGTGATTTTATTTTGTTTTCCCTTTCTCAGGATCTGTTCTCTTTATATTGCCTTTCGTTGTTGATTAATAACTGCCAATTCAGTAATCAGTAACTTGGGGATAAGAGAGAATCCTGAACAAAAGTTTTGGCTCATTGTGGAAAATACCCATTCTGAATTAGAATTTTTGGAGTGAACAAATAGGACAAAAGCAAAATGGAAATTCACTGTTAAGGAATTCAAATGTCACAATTTCCTGAATAATTTCTGTTGATTGTGAAATGAAATCAGATCAGGGAGTACCTCCCAAACAACATACCTGAACTCTCCAAGGGAGAGCAATCCCAGCAAGAACAGGAAATCTACTCATTTCCCAAACTCAAGAGCCTGCAAAGCACATCTTGACTGGATTCAATTTCAGGTTAAACTTCATAGGTATCTGAGACCAGTAAAATCCAGCCTGCTTGTGGAGATGAATTATTTTATGTACCAGTTCAGTTCCATTCCTGATGTCTCACTTGCTGGATCATCACCTTGTCGTGGTGAGTGGGCTTGCATGTTCATATGACCCTTTGAACGAAGCTGTCGGGAGTCTCGTACTCCCAGCAGGGTCACCCAAGGCAGTAAGGTCAAAGGGAGACAAGGAATAATCCAAGACGTCCTCAACGACAGAACAGGCAGAAGATAACAAGTGGTATGTTACAATGGCTGTGAAGGCAGATGAAGGCTGCAGCAGATAAGAACCTACTGGTCGTTGTGATACTCATGCCATCGGAATAAAGCCTTACTGTGAATACTGCAACATAAAACAAATTCATGCACAGGCGTCTTCCAAAAGCCCATCCCGGACCCAAAGAAGTCCCATGGCAATCGGCAAATGGTAACGGGGGCAGGACTATGAAATCTGGAAGCCGCTTGTCATGAACCGGCACATGGGCAGTGAATACAGATTCAGTTGTTCCGACTCAAGGAATGAAGCAGTTGAGTAGCTCAGCAGCTGTATCCATGACTGAGCAGTCCTATTTAGGATCCACTCTGCTCACTCCAAAAAGGGGGAGGGGCTAGAAAAGGTGCCCTAAACATAGTCTGCCACCATTTTTCTCTGACTGGATTACTGTGCCCATCTAGTGGTCATAAAAGACAATTAACTTTGGAACATGGATTATACAGATTTTGTTGGATAGCACAGATAATGAGTGTCCTGAACACAGGACTGCCATCATCGCAAGAGATTTGTGATGTTTTAACTTCGATTTTGCAGCATAGTGTAGGTGATGTTTTAGAAATTTATTTAGAGACTGCTCTCTCTTTCCCAATGACTGTAGAGTGTGACATGTCAAAATATCTACCCAGTTCTGGCCAGTTAGCTTTTGTGAAGAAGGTGTATATTCTGGAAGATACATATTCAGAAACAAAACACAGAGTAACTATCTGTGGGGAATTTCCAGGTGAGTGGTCTGGTCACAGTTATAGGGGAAGGAGTGTTCATCTGCTCAGAATATAGGGTCCCTCACAAAATACTGTTTTTAAACGTGTTGCAAGCCACCCACAGTGGCTGGGGCAACCCAGTCAGATGGGCAGGGTACAAATATATTATTATTGTTATATTATTATTATTATTATTATTATTATTATTATTACAGTGGTACCTTGGTTCTCAAACTTAACCCGTTCCAGAAGTCCATTCCAAAACCAAAGCGTTCCAAAACCAAGGTGCGCTTTTCCATAGAAAGTAATGCAAAATGGATTAATCCATTCCAGACTTTTAAAAACAGCCCCTAAAACAGCAATTTTACTATCCAATGAGACCATTGATCCATAAAATGAAAGCAAGAAACAATGTACTGCAGTCACACAATCAATCAATCAGTAGCTGAACTGGGTTCCACATAGTCACAAAAACAAAACAAAAAGCCACACAAATAAAAATGCAAAATAAATAGCAAAAACTGACAGACCTCAGTATAACACTCAAAACGGATGTGTGGCACTCGAATTGGAAGCATAACACTCAAAATGGAGCCAAGTTCGGCTTCCGAAAAAAGTTTGTAAACACTTACTTCCGGGTTTGCAGTGTTTGGGTTCCAAGTTGTTTGAGTACAAGGCATTTGAGAACTAAGGTACCACTGTATTCTCAAAAGGATTGTGAAGCAGCAAATGAAAGGAGTCACATCTAACAATTACTCATTGAGGGTCTGTCTTGGAAGAGTATGGTCTTGCTGAAATGAAAAGTGATTGCAGAACATAATGGTTTTTGTATTGTTGGGGAAAGACCTTGCTAATTTTGCATAACTCTATTGTTTTCAGTACAGTGGGCTGCTCCCAAGACAGAGCTGGGATATGTGGCACCCAACACTGGTGGCTGAGGCACTGTTTGCTATTGCAAACATATTTAGTTCTCTGCGCCTGATCTCATTATTCACTGCAAATTCTCATCTGGGACCATTGCAGATCTCTCTTGGAAGAATGTTACTGGACATTTTAAAGTTTCTTTTCATCTACTGTCTTGTGCTGCTAGCTTTCGCAAATGGACTTAACCAGCTGTATTTCTATTATGAAACAAATGATGCCAATCGCTGTAAAGGGATTCGGTGTGAAAATCAAAATAATGCATTTTCAACGTAAGTTAGCATTTCCTACTTAAATGATTCATAGTATTCTTTTTGTATTGCACAGTGCTCCATGTTGATTTGTTGCTAAAGAGTTGTCTAGGGCGGCAAACTGGTTTCATTTTAAGGAAGGAATTTAAATGCACAACATACAAGGCAACAAACTGATACTTAAAGGTTTGGTCATAACATTGACCAAAACCTATTGTTTGACAACAATAATAATGTGAGCTAGACTACGTCAAAACTGTCTGGTGGCTAATTCTCTGCTGGAGAGACCAATATGATCAGTGGTCAGGGATGATGGGGGTTGTAGTTAGAAACACGTGGAGAGCACAGAGTTGGGGAAGGGTGTTTTAAAATGTTATGATAGCTTGTACAGATGATGAATTAGGCTTCCTTTGGGTACAATGAGGTTGCAGAGGAAACATAACACGTTTTCCATTCCTATAATTGCTGCTGCTTAACCACTCTTCATTTCATTGGTGGAAAACAGAAGGGGCCATAAGTACACTTTCTAGAACCAAAAGGGACTTCTGCAAATTTAAGGGACTGGGATGACTTTATGACTGGAAGGGATGGAATTTACCTCTGGAAGCATTAATCAAAAACGATTACCTTTCATTTTGATTAATTACTGCCAATTCAGTGATCAGTAACTTGGGGGTAAGAGATATTCCTAAACAAAAGTTTCGGAATATGTGGTCACAGTTTTGCTGCCAGGACACTGTTGAATGATGCTGCGTCACACTGTGGATGGGGGCTTCTGGAAGAAAAACGGTAGTTGCCCCAGAAAAGCAGTCTGCCCCATAAATTTCCTTGATGTGATACTAGGTCATGACATAGTGTGCAGCAGATTTTCTTGGGATGGGTGGGAATGACAGCCACAGGAAGGGATATTGCTGCTGCTGCTGCTGCCACACACACACACACACACAAAAGATGAAGGCACCCACAAGCCTATCTGAGCCAAAAGAGTTCAAGTGAGAAATTCCAGCTCAGTCTTACATAGGAATAGGCATTGTTGGATTCTTGTGGGGAATATAGCACTATATTAAATGCTGTCTGGGAAAGCGTCAGAAATGATCAAGAGTGATTCCCTATGAATAAATGTTACAGCATTTAGGACTTCTTAGTTTAGAGAAAAGAAGAGCAAGAGGTGACATGATAGAAATTTATGCAACTATGCATGGCATGGAGAAAGTGGCTAGAGAGGGGGGAAAATCTCCCACTGTCATCTCACTAAAACTTATGGAAATCTCATGAAGCTGAATGCTGGAAAATTCAGGACAGATAAAATAAGGTACAGTGGTACTTTGATTTTTGAACGTAATCTGTTTTGGAAGACCTTTTGCGTTCTGAAACGTTCAAAATCTGAAAACTCAATAGCCAACAGCTAGGCCTCAGGATCTTGCACTCAGTGGAAGCCGTGTGACATGTTAGACTTCTGAGGCATGTTCGAAAACCGAAATGTTCGTCAGCGGAGACATTCGAAAACCGAGGTACCACTGTACTTCTTCATACAACACATAGTTAAACTATGGAACTCGCTTCAATGGGAGGCAGTCATGGTCACTGATTTAGATGGCTTTGCTGAAGCCTGGCTACACGGTGCAAGGCAGCGGTGTGGCAGGTGGCGGTGCTGTGTGTGGCGGTCAGCTCAGTGGGATCGTACCTTCATCGCCAGTGAAATATACTTGGAGCCAAGTGTGGATTTCATGCTCTTTATTCAGCTCATGGTAGTGAGGAATGGAAGTTCCCCCAAAATGTCTGCTTTATATACATTAGTTACACAATGGGCCCCACATGATTGGTTAATTCTGGGATTCTCCCGTAGGCCAATCAGGTTGTGGATTCACTTCCACCTGGAGTTGGATTGGGTGGCTCCTGCAGACCAATCAGACTGCTGCATTCTGGATCCTATTGTTCTAGGACCAATCAGACTGCTGCATTTTGGATCCTATTCAACTCAGTACATAACAGCTTTAATCGAAGATTAGACAAATTCCTGGAGGAGAAGGCTATTGATGACTACTAACCACGATGGTTTATGCTGTCCTCCATGACCAGAGGCAGTAATGCTTCTGAATACCAGTTTCTGGATACCACATGAGGGAAGAGGGTCCTCAAATCCTTCTTGTGGGCTCCCCACAGGCATGTGGTTGAGCACTGTGAGAGCAGGATTCTGTAGACCAGGGGTGTCCAACAGGTCGATTGCGATCGCAGCAACTTTGGCTCATTCTCTCCCCTAAAAAGCCCAACAACTTTGATGGGTAGATCGCTGCCAGTTTTTTAATAGTGGGAGTAGATCCCAGTCTCTTGGAAGTTGGACACCCCTGCTGTAGACCATTGGCCTGATCCAGCAGGCTTTGCTTATATTCTTATGAATCATACCTTTAATGTTGCTTAAAAAAAAACCAGATGTGAAAGAAATAATATTCCACCTACGGTACCAAAAATTTGACTGAGGAAATGTAATAGGAGATCTAGACGTTATGATGAAATGGAGCTGCCACCCAAAGTGACAGCATTGTTTCAAGTTATTCCTCTCTGTAACATGCAGCAAAACTTACATCATGTACAGATGCATTCTCATCCTGTGCGTTTTCCTGCATGTAGGCAGCATAATTGGCTGCAGTAGCTGGGGAGATACAAAGCATGATGATGTAAGCACATATATAAGTACTGGGGGGGGGGGACTTCAGTTGGGGGTGATGTTTTTCAGCGGCAGCTCAGTGTTTATTTGTAACATCTAGTTTCACCTTAATTGCAATCCTGAACTGCAAGCCCCAATTTGCATTTCAATACCTAATCTAGTGCCGTGTAAAAGCCACCCAGTCCTATATAGCTGCACTGTTTCCACTGGTACCAACGTGCCCTTAGGATGCTATGCCAGGGACGATAGATAGCCTACCCCACCCTCCCTATTCGCTATTTCCCGGCTATCCAAAATCCCTTTATGATCCATTGAGGCTTTGCAAGAGGACCAGATTCCCCATGTGCTAATCAATGCTCGAATCCCAGTGAGCACAGCCTAGAACTGGGCTATAACTTAATTGCATTTAAATGTCTCATTTGCTGTTTTAAGTTTAAAGGTTTTAATTAAAGTTTGGGGTGAGGATGTACCGTAGTATTTAAAACAAATGAGATGCTTCTGTTTTCTTTAAGACTTTTCCTTTCCTTTTTTTCTTTCTTTGCAGTTTGTTTGAAACTCTCCAGTCACTGTTTTGGTCCGTGTTTGGGCTCATCAACCTTTATGTGACCAATGTAGACGCGCGACATGAATTCACTGAGTTTGTTGGGGCCACCATGTTTGGGACCTACAATGTCATCTCTCTGGTCGTCCTTCTCAACATGTTGATAGCTATGATGAACAATTCCTATCAGCTCATTGCTGTCAGTTCCTTGGTTTGATTCTTGTTCACTTTGAAAGCTGTATCTGTCAGTTGACCAAAATTCCAGCTGTTTGAGAACAATAAGCCCTGTGCTTAAGTATGCTTACAAAATTAGGTTCCCTGGAATGTGCTCTAGCCTCCAAAGAAGCAGAAATCAGCTACCTGAGCATTCCAGCAGGAATAATTTTTCACCAGGTGCAAAATTAAATAAGCCTGGCTTTGCATACCATTTGGTATTCAGCCCCCAGCATCTCATAATTTAATCAGTATTCAGCATTGGGGGACATATAAAGAACCTACTTTTCTAAGCAAGAAAGCTGAGATTTCTAGTTTTGCCAAAGTATGCCAAAGTGTTACTGACTTTCTGTTCCTAGCCACCCATCTTATTAGACCTATATTCTCTTATATACATTTGATTCTTTTCCAGATACTTCTCAGTTTCATCAGCTTACATTCATACTTTTATTTTTCCTTGTACTGAGAAGACCAAATCTGTCTGGGTCTCTCTATCTTCTTCCCATTATTCTCATTTCTGTTTTCCTTCGTTTGTTCTTTCCTTTTCCCCTACATTCTTCCCCATACCATTCAGTTTGCTTTACTTATCGTACATTGAACACACCTACTTTTGTCCTACTTCTTTCTTTACTTTTAACTGCTGTGTCTTTGTTTATTTATTATTTCCCATCCTCCTCTTCAGCAGAAAAGGCTCCTCAAATAGCTTTACAGATCAGGTTTTGAAAAAGATATTCTCTGCCTTCAAGATCTATATCTATTTCCCCCTTTCCTAGAACCAAAGTAAAAGTTATGTGGAAAATCCATGATTTGATCTCCCCACATAATTGTGCTTCCCCTAAAAAAGCTACAGGGGATTCTAATTTGGTATAGAGTAACAACTTGAGGAGGTTCCTTTCCCATTGTAACACAGCCGTGATCCAAATTGGGTCCAATTTCTAGAATAGAAATAACTCAAACTTTTGCTTCAAAAGCTAATGAGACAACATAAAAACCATTATCTGTAACATACCTGATGGACTAAAAAGATTTTCAGCACCTGTGTAAAAACAGATAGTGAGAATTCCAGATCTCTCCAATAAGAAATGAAAATATGTTTCCATATTTCCTGTGTTCAGGATCATGCAGACATTGAATGGAAATTTGCTCGAACAAAACTTTGGATGAGTTACTTTGAAGAAGGAGGGACTCTGCCTACTCCGTTTAATGTCATACCAAGTCCCAAATCTCTCTGGTACCTGATCAGATGGCTGTGGAGACAAGTGTTCAGGAAAAAAATCAGAAAGAAACCTGAAAGTTTTGGAACAATTGGGGTAAGCAATAATTGCCGTTTTCCTCACCACCTGCCTTTCTTTATGTTTAGGTGTTATCATAGGTATTAGACACCAGCATGTTGGGCAAAAGCCAGCCTGGGCACTACTATTTTCCATCTATCTTATACTACTTTTGGGAGACAAGCACAAAATGAAAATATCCACCCCTTCCCTTTTCTGGTTAAGGGAAACCAGAACTGATCGGTGTTGCCTATTACCACCAAAATAATGAGTCAGGTGTTACGAATTTGGAAAGACATACCGTAACTTTGACATCTTAAAATAACTTTCCCCCAAGCAATTCCCAATGGTTTTAATTACCAAAAAGCTATGGATGAGAACTCCCGACTTACTATCATGTAAAAAGACTGCTGAATTAGTAATGTTTGTGCATGTGTATCATATTAATACACACATCAGGGAGTCAGGATTGGACATTCAATAGTCAGCCCTAGTTAATTGCCATATAAAGTGTGGAATTGCGCACACGCACACACCTGTGCACAGACACACACACACGAGCATGGCTGTAGTCATGCGTCTCCCAAGTCACTATTTTGCCACTTTCTTTTCCTCATTACAAAGGATATTTTTCCTAAATGTATATGTTAGTGTACTGTAAGATGAGCAGTTAATATGCATAAAAACTGGCCATTGTGATTCACTAGACCTCCTGAAGAATCTGCCCATGAAGAGGGAATTGTGCACCTTTCCTGGTCAATAAATGAAACCCCCCACCCCCACCCCCACACCAACAGGCCTTTGGGAAAATGGACTAAATTTCTCCAACTGCATTTTGTGCACTCTGGCCATTCTGCACAATCCTTAACAGAATAAATAAATATTTATCTGCAGACCTACCCCCTTTTTCCAATGCTTGACTGATCACAGGGAAGGCATGTTGTAATCCATGTAAGATTAGACACTGGGCCAGAAGCAGAAGGCAGGGGGGCACAGATTTCACACTTCTGAACAAGAGATAGATTAAAAAAGACAAGAGCATGTTCCTTGGAGGCTATGAATTACTGACTGGAGAATGTACAAAATGCAATTGATACATGCATGCTGGTTTATGTATATTGACCAGGAAATGAACACAATTCCTTCTTCATGGGCAGATTATATGCACATTCTCCATAAGGTCTTATGTCACCCCTAACACACACACACACACACACACACACACACACACACACAATTTTCAGTCAAAGTTTCTCTTTATTGACTGCCTCATATCTGCTCTGCCTACACTGTCCAATTTCCATGAGCCAGGGCTTGATCCAAGAAGTACAGTGGTACCTCGGGTTACATACGCTTCAGGTTACATATGCTTCAGGTTACAGACTCCGCTAACCCAGAAATAGTGCTTCAGGTTAAGAACTTTGCTTCAGGATGAGAACAGAAATTGTACTCCAGCGGCGCGGCAGCAGCAGGAGGCCCCATTAGCTAAAGTGGTGCTTCAGGTTAAGAACAGTTTCAGGTTCAGTACGGACCTCCGGAACGAATTAAGTACTTAACCCGAGGTACCACTGTAGTCTGAATGTGGCCTCTGTTTTCAAAATCCTAATGCCTTTCCTGGACACTGAAGTTGATCCATGTTCACTTCTACTCATCATTTTGCAGCTGTCTTAAGCAATCAATCTTCTCCTTCTTCTCCTCTTCTTTGACCATCACTCCTAGCCAAGTATTACTCTCCTTGAAATAAAAGGTTTAATTTGGGAGCTCTTGTGAATGGGTCTTTCCTGTAAAAGTGACATGGACTTCACATTAAGATGTAACACTATTCATATTCTTCCTTGGGTATTATCTTTTTGACAAAAGGTTTGCATCAAATTAAGCCCAATTTTGAGGCAGTCCTTTTGTGGATGATTTTGGCCACGGTGGACATTTCTGCTATTCAGACATAATTGCTTTTCAAATATCATTCCAGCTAATTTATGTTCTTTATTTTCAGAGGCGTGCAGCTGATAATTTGAGAAGGCATAATCAGTATCAGGTAACCAATCTTGTCTTTTACTTTTTTTACTGGAAGGAATTGAGCATTTTCCTCAGGATGTCACTCAGGATAGGACACCGATTTAGTTTCCAACACAGATATTGCCGTTCCGTTGTTGGATACAATTATTTGAGCTTATCTTCTGCCCAAAGCTGTCCAGGAATAAATGCTTCCAGTTGCAGGTGCAAACGTTAGTGCCTGGGGAATTTGCAAATGAATATACAGTGGTACCTTGGTACTCAAACGGCTTGGCTCCTGAACGCCGCAAACCCAGAAGTTAGTGTTCTGGTTTGCGAACGCTTTTTGGGAGCCAAACATCCGACGCAGCTTCCAATTGAGTGCAGGAAGCTCCTGCAGCCAATCGGAAGCTGCATCCTGGTTTTCGAACCGTTTCAGGAATCGAACGGACTCCCGGAACGGATTAAGTTTGAGAACCAAGGTACCACTGTATATGCAGGTGCACATCTCATTGAAAGCCAGGAAGGCGTCCCCACTTGCTTGAATATCTGGTTGTACAGCCAGGTGATCATCTCATTGAATGTAATGGACAGCATCCACCTTTGGGCTAATGCAAGCTACTTTCAAATGTATTTACTTCAATTGCTTTCTCCCAACTGTTAACACATGTAAAGTGTGAAGATCAACTGTGTCTATGTAACATTGCCTCCCTTATGCATCTCAATGACTGGCACTTGTCAGATCACAAGTAAATTGGAGTGAGCAGTGCCATTCACTGTGAAAATTAATGACATTTTTGCCGATGTCTCAACTTGTGCTAGAGTAAGTCAGGGGCCAAAGCTAAGGGCTATTGTGGCCCTTCAGCTCAGTTCAAAACATGGCACCTGCACAAATTTAATTTTTCTATAAACAAGGGTCAAAATGAAGACAGGTTCCTCTGGATCCTTACAACTCCTGTGTGGCAGAATCTGTTTCCCAGAAAAGTGACCAGCTGGCAATTACTCTACATATAATGTTTTTTAGTCCTTTTTTTTGTAATGGCATAATTTAAAGCAAAAGGTGATGAAATTTCTGATACATCAAATGTCAAGCAGGACAGTTAGAAGTGCTGTCAAAATTGGACTGTTCTTATCTTTCAGGAGGTCATGAGAAATCTGGTTAAGAGATACGTGGCTGCAATGATAAGAGATGCTAAAACTGAAGAGGGGTTGACCGAAGAGAATTTTAAGGTGACTGCTCTTACGTTGGACTCCTTAATAACAATGAATCAAAACATTAAAGAGCTTCACGTGGTGGTGGGGGGGAATAATCTAAGATATTTGCCGCTGAAAGTTGAGTGCATTTACACACAAAAACATACATGAAATACATTGTAATGCAACAATTTTCACATACAGTGTCTAATATCAAATATGAAACATTAAAAATAGAAACACAGTCTGTAGGGTTTACTGGATGTAGAAATGAACCAAGACCTAGAAGCACAGCCAACCCATGAAATCTGGATGCCTTGTGAGGAAAACATGGCAGGAATCCACACACTGTCACTTAATGATCTCATAACATAGCAGGGAAGGGTTTGTGAAAAAATCGTAACAGCTAAACTTTATGACGTCTCTTGTACCTTTCCATAGGCAGACTATTCACCTTGCGTGAAACAATTCACTAAGTGGGGGTGTGGAGAACTTGGAATACTATAAATGGCCTCAAGTAAACTTTTATTTATTTCCCCCTTCCCCCTCCAAAACCCACACTGCATCCCCAAACCCAAGTTTCAATTCTCTCTCTCTTTTTTTAAACATAATTTTTATTAAATTTTCCCATATTTCATTTAATTCAATACACATATCCACAACTTATATTATTTGCTCAAAGTGAGCTTAGACTTCCTTCTATCTCTCATTCTGACATCCCTATAGTCAATTCTCAACAGCCGAAAACATTTCTGCTACTCATAAATAGCAAGATACTTATTAAAATAGCAATTTAATGATATTCCAGTATTTATCTTGTGAACTGCCCTGAGATCTTCGGATGAAAGGTGGCTATTTATTTATTTACAATTCCTTTCACATTAAGCATAGCATTTTTCTTCTAATGTTTTAGGAGTTAAAGCAAGATATTTCCAGTTTCCGCTTTGAAGTCCTGGGTTTGTTAAAAGGAAACAAGCTGTCTAATTTACAGTCCTCGAAAGTCAGCAGAGAAGAGTCCTCTTTGCCGGAATCTGATGAAGGAAATGAAAATGGAGGAGACGAGAAAATTAAGAAGAGAAACCTTAGCCTTTTTGACATAACTTCAATGATTCACCCCAAAGCAGTGGCAAGAGCCTCTGAAGCCCACAGCCACAGCAATGGGTCAGCCATGATGACGAGAGTTTCCTCCAAGGAAAAGCAGAGGAAAGTGAATTTTGTGAGTGATGTGAAGAAGTTTGGGTTGTTTCACAGACAATCCAAAAGTGCTGAGCAAAGGACGAGTATTTACTCGATTTCTGAAGAAGTTTCCCGCCAACAAACAGAAGAATGTGAGAAAACTCCTGATATGGGAGTGAAAGCATTGGTTGTGAACTGTGAACTCAACGTTCGGGATCTCAGCGAAAGCTGTACCGTAGGCACTCATAATCAGGCCAGAAATGAGGCGCTGGACTCAAAGGTGGATGAGAAAGTTGTTGCTGCTTCTGAAATAAAGAAGGCTAATTTGCCCACACCAAAGGATTCTCCAGACAATGAGCAGGACTTCAGTAGTAGTGACTCTGTTGTGAAACAAGAAACAATTGCTCAGGACAATTACCTGACGACAAGATTGTGATGAGCAGAGGCAGAAGCCTATAGAAACACACTTGGCGGTGGTGATGCTTAAATCAGAAAATAAAGAATCAAAGCATTCAGAGGCAACATAGCTGTAACATAGCTCAGTGAAGAAGAGGAAATGGAGGCGCCTTCTGTTTTGTAGCCTGCTTTAGCTTTCACAGCTTCTTTTACATTTTTTATTAAATGGGAGCATCTTGTATTCTTGTACTGTTGCAATAACCCACAGATACTTTTTAGCTATCTTTTTCAATTTGAAATAAATGCCATTTCTCTCCTGTGATAGTTAATTGCCTATGGTAAATATTTTTCTATGCAAATAAATGTAGCTTAACAAAGGTGCGAGCCTTTATGAACCTTTTTTTAGGATTCCTAAAAATGGACGAGAGAGAATCAAAGGGTCATAGCCAATATTACTCTATGATTAATGTCGGATATCTACTCTGACCCATTGAAAGCAATGGACAACTTGAATAGATTGATTTTGGTGGGTCTGCTCTGAATATGATTTAGCTGGCTTTACCCAAAATTATTTAACTAGTTAGAAATCTTATTTATAAATAAAATTTTAAACAGTGAAATAATTTATTGAAATTGTTAGTGCCTATAATTTACTAGTAATCATTTTGCTATTTATGTAAAATAGCGTAAATTTGTTATTTATGTATACCCTATTAGCGATCACCATTTCCATACCTAAAAAATGTTGCAGCCGAATTTTTAAATTTGAAAACTTCAGATATAACCCTGCAGCAAAATAAAATATTAAGACTTCTTTAGTGGAAGATGCCCATGTCAAAGCAACTTTGCACATGCATTTTGCTGGAAAATGGATTAATCCATCCTTAGCCTCTCCAAGCCACACACATACCCCTCAATGGTCTGGGTTGCGGGGGGTGGGGGGGGGAGCATATTTTATAAAATGTCTCTGAATGATAACCTGGAAGCAGTTCTGACTCTCCACACACACTCAAGCTTGGATTAATCTGTGAGTCGTACTCTTGCGAGAAGTCTCTTTTCACTTCTGCATTCATAATCCCAGTGTATTTCACTAGCAACACAAGAGTGCTTCAGAATAATCTAACTGATGTGCTATCAAATTATGACAATCATTCAAAATATTCTAAAGACAAATCTGAAATGAATTCAGTCTCTTTCCGAGATGTTGGTGGCCTGCTTTCTGACTCTTTGCACAATAAATACGATGGCTGGTATTCAACTAAGTTTTACTTAGAGTAGACATACTGGAATTAATGAACATGACTGCGTTAGCCCCATTAATTTCAGTAGGTATACTCTGACTAAAACGAAGTTGAGTACCGCCCATTGGCTTTTAAATGTACAATATTATTAATCTGAGAGTATTTTCATAAACAAGTGTTTTACTGTCAGCCAAAATAATTTTTGAAATTAAACAGTCTGTTTCTTTCTCATCAACGACTGGTGTTTTATGTTATAAAAAGACTAATATACACTACATTCATATCTGAACATCTGTTCTAGCAAATTGACCATTCCAGTTAGCATTTCACTGTTCACCATATTGCATCGGTGAGGAGGACAGGCTGATACACCATGTTCTAAAGTGATAATCATGGTGTTACTTAGCATGGCTGCGGTAAGGCAGAGAGCATAGATAACTGAAAGCAAAAGTTCCCTTGCAGAGTTGTAGAGTTTCCTTCCAACTCTAAAATTCTACCATTCTATGAGTTTCTCATTAGTTAGACATTGTGGTTAACACTTCATGCATCATACTTAATGACATCATGAGAGCCCACCCTATGACATCACTGGGGGCCGTCTCCTATGACATCACCAGGGGCTGCCCCTAGGATTCAGGTTTAGACTCCTGATCTGGCAACCCTTCCTGAAATCTGTTCATGTAGTTCTGGTCCGCACTACACTTGAGGCAGTACCTTCTATGCTGAATGTTATGATTAACCTGCTACCAGGCCCACACCACATGTAGCACGATGCTCTGTGCTGTTGTTGCAGACTCCCTCTCTTAGAGGAAGGAAGCTCTTCCTCATTGGCAGCGTCGCAAATGACTGTGCTTTCTGTGCCTGGGATTGCCATAGCAACACACAATGATCTGATTTACTCATGTTAGTGGTTGGTAACAGGGCATTAGGTCTCAGCTTAAAAATATTGAGGAGACACTTCTCTTCCACCAGACATCCGGAAATACAATCCCATATAATCTAAATTGTTTTTAGAATGGGAGCACTGAAGTTTATCTCTCCATAGTTCTGATCTCTCTTGAACAAGAAGAGATTCCCAATCTGTGTCACTTGCCAGCCTCTGATATGCCCAAATAGGATATTGTGTCTCTTCAGTGGCGGACATCCCAGGGCGGTGTGTGTGTGTGTGTTATATGGATAATTGTTCAGAACAAAACCTAATCTTTCTTTCTTTCTTTCTTTCTTTCTTTCTTTCTTTCTTTCTTTCTTTCTTTCTTTCCACCCCACCCATGTGGCTGGGTTTCCCTAGCCACTCTGGGTTGCTCCCAACAGAATATTAAAAACACAATAAAACATCAAACATTAAAAACTTCCCTAAACAGGGCAGGTAGTTGTGGGAGGGTGTTCCACTACTGAGAAGGCCCTCTGCCTGGTTCCCTGTAACCTCACCTCTCACAGTGAGGGAACCGCCAGAAGGCCCGCGGCGCTGCAACCTCAGTGTCCCGGCTGAACGATGGGCGTAGAGACGCTCCTTCAGGTATACTGAGCCGAGGCTGTTTAGGGCTTTAGAGGTCAGCACGTGGGTGGCGCTGTGGTCTAAACCACTGAGCCTAGGGCTTGCTGATCAGAAGGTTGGCGGTTCGAATCCCCGCGATGGCGTGAGCTCCCGTTGCTCGGTCTCTGCTCCTGCCAACCTAGCAGTTTGAAAGCACGTCAAAGTGCAAGTAGATAAATAGGTACCGCTCCAACGGAAAGATAAAGGGGGTTTCTGTGCACTGCTCTGGTTTGCCAGAAGCAGCTTAGTCCTGCTGGCCACATGACCCGGAAGCTGTACGCCGGCTCCCTTGGCCAATAAAGCAAGATGAGCGCCTCAACCCCAGAGTCGTCCACGACTGGACCTAATGGTCAGGGGTCCCTAATGGTCAGGGGTAAAAACCAACACTTTGAATTGTGATCAGAAATGTACTGGGAGCCAATGTAGGTCTTTCAGAACCGGTGTTATGTGGTCTCGGCGGCCCCTCCCAATCACCAGTCTAACTGCCACATTACTACACTCACAGAAATGCTACACTCAGCACACATTTAAAGTCAATGAGTGTGGTTTTGATGGGGAGCTCATTATGGGCATCATAATGTCTAGTTTTCTTCCCCCAACACCTGTACCTTGGCTGCTAAGCGCCCTGTATTAAGTGGAACAGCCCCATTTGGGGGGAAGGTGCCCCCGGGCTCTGGCAGCAAGTGGGTGGGTGTCAGTGGGCAGGCAGCATCAGCCTGGTGGGGTTTGGGGTAGAAAAAGTTGAAGTGTATGCAAGTCTAGTGCTCCCGCCTGGGATCATGTACTGTATCCTCAAAGGTTCCGTGTGAATCCACGCTAATGAAATATGTTTTTACAATGCATTTCTAAAAGACTAATTTTACATTCCCATGGTAGTGATACAGTTTTTTTCATATCGGAAAACCACATGAAGTAACAATTACAGTTCCTGTAATGGAAAAAGTGCTTTTCAGCTGTATCAGTTGCGACTGTGCTTTGTATTGAAAGGACATTGTAGTTGTTTTTCTCCTCTCTCTCTCTTAATATTTTTCACAGTGTGAACAAAAATGGAATAATATGCATGTAGCTCTAAGGCGGTGAATGAATGAAACGGGCCCATTTCACTGGTGGTGGAAGAGAAAGAGCCATGTTCTTTTGCATCCTCCCACTACACTGACTCACCCGGTTACCTGTGGAGCTGCAGATCTTGACCAACACACCTTGCAATGTGGCTCAGCAGGCTTGTCCTTTGGGGAGCTTCCAGAGTACAGAATGGCTCATACTTGCAACAAAAAAACCACATCATCAGACCTATTATTTAAATCCAGAGCTCATTCCTGATGGTGTTTCTTCTATATTTTGAAAAGACTACAGGTTAGGGCGTGTTATAGAAACACAGCACTGAACTGTATCAAGGGTTTCTCTCCTTTTTAGGGAAATTGGATCCCTCCCCTGGTGGCAGTAAATGAGCAGATCAAATGAAAGGAGCGTTCTTACCAGTTAGTTTCTTTAATGATCACAGCGAGAGACAAAGGAATGCATATCTCTCTAGAAATGGTGTTGCTCCCAGTTAATCCATCCCCATTAATCTACATCACACCAATGTCGGGTAATCTGAGCTTGTTGCTGTTGCGCTCTCTGTTCTATCACTCTCAAAGCCCGTCTAGTCTTAAGAAGAAGGGTTGGGGTCAGGAATGTTGTCCAAGGACACTGAATCTGCCAGCTGTCTCCTGGTGTTTTCTCTTCTAGCTGTTCCTCACCCAGTCTTTCCCAGCTTTTCCCCTCTGGGCTATGCCCCTCTGCAAACCACTCTTCTAAATCAATACAGTGGTACCTTGATTCTCAATCCATTCCGGAAGTCCATTCCAAAACCAAAGCATTCCAAAACCAAGGCGCACTTTCCCATAGAAAGTAATGCAAAACAGATTAATCCATTCCAGACTTTTAAAAACAACCCCTAAAACAGCAATTCAACATGACCTTTATATTCAGCTGTTGTCCAGTCTAATGGCAGCCATCACTGAGCGGCCATTTTTTATGGCGACCACCATTTTGAATTTCCCAGCATTCAAACGGGGCTTTTGGGGAGCAGGGGATAGTAGTCATTCTGATTCTATTCATTCTCAGAGGGATTTTGCCTCCAAAACAGCTGGTAACCAAGGGGTGAAATGTCTGAGAAATGGTCCTTGTCAGTTTGGCACAGCCGCATGTCATTCATCCTAAAACTTATAAGCGGGGTTGGGGGTTGGACTGACTCTAGGTGGCCAGAAGTGTGTTGAACCTAAAGCTTTTTCTTGAATGAGGGCCTTATCACTTCACAGACTTCAGTATCACATTACAAGTTTTGTCTCACATTTCCAGTAACCTTTTCGCTCTATTTCTCAGAACAGTTTAGCACTGCATTCAAGGTGCACTGAAGTGTTCTGGGTTTGATGAAGAAACAGATGGAGCTTTCACAGTATCACAGCTCTGTGTGTTTCAATTTCCAGGAAGACCTTAATGTCTCATCATTAAGATAATCTCACCCGAACACCAGGAATCCTCCTGCTTTTCAATGCAATATGCCCGATCCAGAAGACTATATATTGTTTTGTTTGTTTATAGCACATCGAAAAACCAACACCTACCCTTGACAGCTATGATAGCACGAAACTAAATCTGGCAACACCACATGTTTAGTAATGTGGTTAAAATGAAAACAATTTTTAGCAGGCCTCCTTTATTATTAGGGGTCTGGAAAGCTTCACACAAAAAGGATGATGCACCCAATCTTGCAAATCAGATCATTGTCAGAGGACTCTGTTCTTTATTTTAAGCTTTTAAGAGCCTATCTTGCTCTTAACAAGAGTTCTGCTGGAACCTGGGGAAGCAGCTCCAATTGATTTTCATAGGAATCACTCTCACCTTGCAGCATTCTTGCAGAGAACATGGCAAACTGATGCTGATTAAAAAGGGATAGCACAGGACTATCGTGATCTCCACATCAATAGAGCGTGTTCTATTTGAGTGCAACAATCGAAACATACTGACTTGATGATCTTTGATCTGCTAGCTGTTGCTTGATTTTAGATATTTTCTTTTTCCTCTTGTAAGGTGAGGAATCAGTCGTCTTAAGGGCAGTATTAAAATGTTTTAAATAAACAAATGGATGACATTTGTCACAGTACATGTCTGAACTCACATATGTGTCCAGCACTCACGTGTAGCCATGCACACACTATCAGGAGGTTGGGGATCTTTTGCTAGAGCTATAACTTGTGACTGTTTATGAATATATGTTTGCTTCTATTCCTGCCTAAGTAAAACTCCTGACACCTGATATATTTTTTGTCCTGGGTGGGTGATCCCACCACCATGTTAACTATCAGCTGGGCAACCCAGTAATGTTTAAAGGCAAATAAATAGTTTTACTATTAGATTCTCAAGAGACACGTGAACAAAGGAAGCTTGGTTTATTATACAAAATGAACATGACAGAAGACATAAATGCTGTTTCAGACAGTGAAATTACAATTTAAGCAAGCAGCAAATGCCACCATTGATCTAAAGAGTGGAAGAATCCCTATCTAGTCTCAAAAGCCTACAAAAGTGAGTGTGGCAGTTTTGTCAGTAGGACTCACAATAATAGTAAGCTAGGAAATGGACAGCAAGGGAGGAAGAGTATAGCTTTCCTTAAGCACGTGTGTGTTCATTCCTTGTGACTCTGAGCTGAATGAAGGTCCTTGTTGCAACTAAGAGAGCCATTGACTACAAATTTTAGG